GCGGCCTGGTAGCCTCTGAGATGACCCGGGGAGCCCTGGAAGGACCTGACGGGCGACTAGGTCCAGCCCGAGACGGACCCTCAACCGGAGAGGAAGAAGAAAGATCAGTCTAGGGCCTCCTCCTTGGAGTCCTGGTCAAGGGGCCTGAAGCCCGAGAAGAATGTGTGTTATGAGGCTGGGAAGGTGCTTGAAAATCATCAAATCGAGATCCGATAGGCTGCATCAGAAACATCTTGCAGAACTCATCATAATCTCCTCCCAGAATGAACCCACATGTGGTAAGCCCTCAATATGAGCGTCGGTAAGCGTCATCTGCTTTCCTGCTCGCATGTCCTCGGGAGGGGATGAGGGACGGAGCGGCAGCCTCTGATCTGAAAGTCTACTCTCTCGCCTAGATAATAGCGTCTCAAGACGAGATGTGACAAGACAACCCTCTGCCGGGACAAGGCCTCTGGTCGCTAGAAATGGGGGTCAGCCTCATTCCAACTTTGAAGACGGGCATTCATCGCCCCCGCCTCAACCTATGAAAGAAGCAAATGTGTTAATAAAAAATCCTTTTTATTTTCACATACTTAAAAAATTACCTGCTACACTTACCTGCTCCACGGTGCAAGTATCGAAGAAGGTCCGCAGGTCCCTTAACGACTTTCTGTGTCGAATAGTTTGGAGGTTTGTTCGGTACCACCTCCAAGCCAAAGGTACCAGCCCCAATCCAAGATCAGCATGAATCAGCACCGGGTGAGTGTAAGGAAAGTACTAAATGCCCAAGTCTGCAAAACAGAAGTAAGAATCAGTGAGGGAAAATCAATAAATAAACAGAAAAACACAGAAAGGTAGAATGTTCTTTACATTACCTCCCAAAGTAGTAAGGTCCCAGCTGAGTTACCAGTGGGCCCCGATTCAAATTCAACACATGTCATCATACAGGCGCTCAAAATAGCACCGGCCCAGGGCGTACTCCTCAAGATGGAGACCAGATTTTCCAAAAACTCTTCAACAGAAAGGATTAAACTTATCTTCCTGTTGGACCAAGCAAAGAAGGTCGAAGCGAACAGCAGCAACAAAGTGAATCTGGCCACCTGAGTAGCCGTCAGCTCTCCCTGTCTGGAAACGCTCAAAACAGGAGTAGTAGAGCTTGGCCCGACAAACCGGGGCAGGTCAATCCCTATCAGATCAACTATCCGATCAGGAGAGACCTCAGTCCTCCAGCCATTATACAGCTCGATTGCCCGAATGCCAAAAGGAATCCCGGAGATCACCGAAAAATCAGTGGGGGTCATTGTTATCTCACCCCAAGGGAAATGGAAAGTATTGGTGGTGTCCCACCTGGTGTCCCACCATCTCTCGGCCAACGCGCACAGTAAGTCCTTGTAATTGTGCCGAGCCATCTCAAGATGTCTTAAAAAGTCCAGATGAGAGGGACTGATAATAGCTCCGATCGCGTTTTTGTGGTCGAGTATCTCGACCGAAATTTCAGCAACAGATGTCTCGCCTACGTCCAATCTAATGTGTGGATCCTAAAAGGTAAAGCAGTATAAGAGTTATTCCTTGGTTCCTTTACTAAGGGTAATATCTTAATTCTATCCTAGCATGCATGCTAATAAAACAGTAAGTGCAGAAACATAAAAAAAAATTCACATTTTGGCCCCTAAAGCAAAGCCGAAAAATTCGCCAATTTGGGCCACCAAAGCCCAAAAATTGACATTGTGGCCCAAAGGCCCAAAATTCGCAATTTGGCCCCAAAGGCCCAAAAATGGCCCAATTTGGCCACAAGGCCAAAAAAAGTTTTCACATTTTGGCCCCTTGGCAAGAAACCCCTAAGGCCCAAAATTCCCAATTTGGCCACAGAGGCCCAAAAATTCTCAATTTGGCCCCAAAGGCCCAAAATGCCCAATTTGGCCCCAAAGGCCCAAAGTTCACATTTTGGCCCCTAAGGCCCAAAAATTCTCAATTTGGCCCCAAAGGCCCAAAAATGCCCAATTTGGCCCAAAAATTGAGTATTCACAGTTGCCCTCCTCCGATTTTCGCCTTCAAAATTTACTTTTCAGACAACCACCGACTCCCATAAATCAATTTTATGGTTGCCGGAGGAGGGCAACTGTGAATACTCAAATTTTGAGGCTCAAAAAGCCTATTTTCCCGGACTGCAAACAGTCCGGCCGGACCGGAGGCCATTCGGAAACTCTGGGCGGTAGACGCCAGTTACGAGGCGTAAGTGTCAGCTCGTCCCACGTGACAGTGACTTAGTCGCGAGGAAAAATCCCCAGAGACTCCAAAAATCCTCGTCGCTAAGATCTGAAGGAAACATGGAGGAAGACTTTGAAGCTTTTGAAATAGAGAATTTTGAGAGAGATCTTTGAGTGGAAAGTTTAAAATGAATGCTATAGTGAAACTTCAGCGTATTTTATAAGGAAATAGCCCAAAGGCGAATCTTCTGGACGCGTTCGATTTTCGCCTTCAAAAATTCTATTTTTCAGACAACCACGACTCCCATAAATCTTTTATGGTTGCCGGGTAGGGCCGGGTAATTGTGAATACCTCAATTTTGGGCTCAAAAAAGCCTGTTTTCTCAGACTGCAAACAGTCCGGCCGGGGACTGGAGGTAATTCGCGAAAGTCACCGAAAAGTATGCCAAATGACTTGAAACGTCCGGAAAAAATTACGAGCGATCGCAGAACTGGATGTCCCTGGAATATTTTTTTGGAGGGTACGGAACCCCGAAAAAAGCCTTTGGAACGAAAAACTAGCGATGTGGACAGTCCACGGCTGGAGCGCCCGCCCTCCACGGCCGGCAGCGCCCGCTGTCCCCACGGCGGCAGCTACCGCCCTTCACGGTAGCAGCTTTACGCCCTTCCAGGGTTGTCAGAACCGCCCTCCGGCCTGTTTTTTCCTATAAATACAGCCCCGAATCAACAGTTTAAGCACTCAGTCTGTTTGACGGACGTCTTCTTTCTCCCCTACGCGTGCTTGCGGTTTCTTTTAATGCTTATTCTGCATTTTAGTGGAGGGCTTTTATTTACTCATCGCTGTTGGTGATATTTGGCCACTATAAATTAAAATTTAATTTTAATTAATATTCCCAACGAGGAGCTTAATCGCGAGTTTCAAGCTGAAAGCTAAGAAGCCGGCCGCGCGATTAACTCGCTAATAACAAAACTCTGCTCATTTAATTTTAAGCATTTTGTGCATATTTCTTTTTCTACTCCCAATTCGGGAATTAAACTTGCTGCATAAAATGCATTCACGTTCAATCAACTTTGGCAAATAAGCTGCCTGCAATTAATTATGATTAAGCTTAAATGTCCGGTTAATTAATAAATCGGTATTAAAGCATAAATCCGATAATAAATTGGCTAATAGTATCTGGTCAATTAATGGACTATGCGTATAATCGCCTTATTTCGAAACACAGTCCGGGTTTAAGTTCCAATTAATCAATAATTGTGGCTAAATAGCCTAATTAAACACGTTTTTTTGGCAATAAATTACCTATATTGCAATTCAAATGATCACTTTTTGGCAAACAAAATTGCCTAATAAGTAAGATTTAACCATTTTTTAGCGACAAATCGGCCTTAAATCGAAAACTTTTTGCAAATGCCTTTGAATTAATCAATTCTTTGGCCTTAAAAGCCTTAAATCAATCAATTGGCGACAATCGCCCAAATCAACGACTTTTTGGCAAACAAACTTGCCCTAATCAACCCCATTTGGCGCTAAAAGCCTTCAAATTAATACTTTTGACAAACAAATTGGCCTAAATCAATCTTTGGCTAAAACCTTAAATCAACACTTTTGGCAACAAACGCCCTAATCAAATCAATCAATTCTTTGGCAAAATGCCTAAACAAAATACACAAAGCATACCATGCACACTCAGCATTAAGGCATACCCATTCAAAGCCTTAAAAAGGTCTATCGAACTAAGTCGACTTTGATCTTCCATTTCCAAACGAAGTAGTAGCACATTTGGGATTTAACCCCGAGCGGCAAGTCGAAATCACTTTAAACCATTTCATTGTTTCAATTACATCATTTACCTTGCAAAGATTCTTTCATTGGTAGTTTCATCAACAGACATGGTCTCGGGATCCACCTCGGTTCGCAGACTATGCCTTTAGACAATTGGAATAATTAATCTGTTAATTAGATTAATTAAATTGGAGTCAACTTTAGGATTTTTTCCTAGTTTACCCTAAAATAATTAAACAATGTGGCGGACTCATAACATTCACGTCCATTTCTGCCCCTTAGTCATATATCATCTTACCCTAAAATAATTAAACAAGGTGGCGACTCATACATTCACGTCCATTTCTGCCCTTAGTCATATTCATCATATGCCAAATACTTGGGGTAGGGGTTCACATATAACTATTTATTTTCTCCTTTCAAATTTTTATATATTCAATCAAAATGCTTATCAATTTTTTACAATTAAACAAGGTATTGGAAGATCTAATTATAATGCAATAAACTTTTATGAATTGAAATTATATTTTTAATTTTATTAGTTCACCATATTGGCGTAATTTCATTATTTATTTAATATTAACATTATAGATAAATTAGATTCCATTAGTTTTATAATTACATTATTTAGCAAAAAAAATAAATGTTCTTTTTTGAAAGAGAAAAAAAACATAAATGTTTATTAAATGAAAAAAATTATTATAATGAAACCCATTATAATTCCATTAGATTTCATTAATTTGTAACTCTATTCAATAAAAAAATTAATGCTTATTAAATGTAAATAAAACGTAACATCAACATTTTTATATTCTAATATATTGCGATATCAAAAGTTCAATGCTTTAGAAATTATATATTTAGATAGATAGGTTGAATAAATTATTAAAATTGACTATAATATTTTGATCTATATACATTAATTATCCCATTCCTAATTTCTTCTACCTTATCCTTTTAAGATTCCTTGCACTCTAGAATCTTTAATTCAATGGCTGCTTTACTATGGTGCCATCTTCTTCTCCACGCGAATTGACCAATCAGTTTACCACTTGGCTGTTTGTTTGAGCTTATCGCGGGGCTGGGGCAAGACCGTTTTATATCTTTGGTATTAATTCTGCGGTCAAGATTCATCATATGTTTCACATGGACGGCTATGATGAGGTTTCTTCAACTCATAGCTCATCTCTGTTGGTAACATATTAAAAAAATGAATTAGACCCCTTATAAGCAAAGAAAATTAGTATAGGAGCCATCGGTAGCAAGGACAAGAAGAGCCATGGTATTGAAACTCGTGTTTCTCATTTCTCTCTTAGTTACCCTAGCAAATTCCCATGATTTCAGTGTTACCTACAATGGCTTCAGATCCACTGATCTCAACCTTGATGGTATAGCTGCAATCACCCCTAGTGGTCTTTTAAGGCTTACTAATAATACCAAACAGGAAAAAGGGCATGCCTTTTATCCGAACCCAATAGAATTCAAGAATTCCCCAAATGGGTCTGCTTTCTCTTTCTCTACTACCTTTGTTTTTGCTATTGTATCCGAATTTCCAACTCTTAGCGGCCATGGAATTGCTTTCGTGATTTCACCAACTAGAGGCCGTCCTGGATCTCTTCAAAGCCAGTATCTTGGTCTGTTCAACGAATCCAATGACGGTAATGATACTAATCATGTTCTTGCAGTGGAGCTTGACACAATCACCAGCAATGAATTCGGTGATATCAATGATAATCATGTGGGTATTGATATTAATGGGTTAAGATCTAAATTAGCTGCTCCGGCTGGGTATTATGCTAATTCTGGAGGTAAGTTTACTAATTTAACTCTAATTAGTGGCCAGCCAATGGAAATTTGGGTTGATTATGATGGTTTAGATAAGAAAATTAATGTCACTTTAGCCCCAATTAACTTGGTTAAACCCAATTCTCCACTTTTGTCTTTACATTATGATTTGTCGCCAGTTTTGCAAGATTCCATGTTTGTTGGTTTCTCATCATCTACTGGTTCTGTTCTAACATCTCATTACGTATTGGGTTGGAGTTATAAAATGAATGGGCAAGCTCAAGCTCTAAATCTTTCTCAACTTCCAAAGCTTCCAAGAATTGGACCTAAAAAAAGATCAAAATTTTTAACCATTGGCGTGCCTATAATTGCTTTAAGTTTGGTTTTGATAGCAATTTTAGGTGTGGTTTATTTCATAAGAAGGAAAAAGAAGTTTGCAGAAGTTCTGGAAGACTGGGAACTTGATTATGGGCCTCATAGATTCAAATACAAAGATTTGTATATTTCCACTAAAGGATTTAGGGAAAAAGAATTATTGGGTAGTGGTGGATTTGGTAGGGTCTATAGAGGAGTGTTACCAAGTTCAAAGATTGAAATTGCAGTAAAAAAAGTGTCTCATCAAACAAGACAAGGAATGAAGGTGTTTGTAGCTGAAATTGTTAGCATTGGCAGGCTTCGCCACAGGAACTTAGTCAGTCTTTTAGGGTATTGCAGGCGAAAAGACGAATTACTGCTGGTTTATGACTATATGCCTAATGGAAGTCTTGATAGGTATATTTATAATCAACCAAAGGTAACTCTAAGTTGGAGTCAAAGATTTAGAGTTATTAAAGGTGTAGCAGCAGGGCTATTTTATTTGCATGAAGAATGGGAACAAGTTGTTATTCACAGAGATGTTAAAGCTAGTAATGTGTTATTAGATGGTGAATTAAATGGAAGATTGGGAGATTTTGGGCTTGCAAGATTATATGATCACGGAACAGATCCTCAAACAACTCATGTTGTTGGTACACTTGGTTATCTTGCACCTGAGCACACTAGAACAGGGAAAGCTACAACAAAAACTGATGTTTTTGCTTTTGGAGCATTTATGCTTGAGGTTTGTTGTGGTAAAAGGCCAATAGAGAGAATGGAGGATGAAGAAGATATAATTTTGCTTGATTGGGTGTTTTCTTATTGGGTTAGAGGTGAAATTATTGACGCTAGAGATACAAATTTGGGTGCAGAGTATGTGGAAGAAGAAGTTGAGTTGGTTTTAAAACTTGGTTTGTTATGCTCTCATGTAGACCCTGAAGTGAGGCCAAGTATGCGCCAAGTTGTGAGGTTTTTAGAAAGGGAAATTCCTGTACCGGAGCTATCATCGGTTGGCGTCTCGGCGTGTGGACTGTCCTTTAGATATCGTGAAGGTTTTGATGATTTTGTTATATCTTGTCCGACTTCGATGGATAAGGCTTTCTCACGTTCATCTTCTGTAGCAGAGTCTCTTCTTTCCGGAGGACGCTGATTTTTTTTGTTTTTTTTCCTTTTTTCCTGTGTACTTGTTGATAATAGAGTTGTTATTTACTTATTTATTTTTTCGAAAATGGTTACAATTGACTTATAATAATAAAATAATAGTGGGTTGGATAAATGTTTAGGATACTCCTTTGAATTCAAATGGGGACCTCCTTGATATTTTTTGATTTCATAAAATTTATTTTCCCTTTTAAAAACAATGTTGCTTGTGTGGTATAGAAACTTAATACTGGACTTTCCAAGTGAAGACAAATTAGATAATGTATTTATTGATTAAACTAATGTTTTATTGTCGGATTCAAAGAAGAAGAATTTCCAGTTAATTGTTCCTTTTTTTTTTAAAAAAAAATAATCCTTATAGCAGGAATTTTGGATAAAGTTTCGACTTTTGTTTTATTTGTTTTGAATTTTTTGTTTGCTGTAGGTATTAATTGTGTTTAGATGTTTTTTTTTTTTTTTTTTTTTTATAAAAGTTCGACTTTTGTTTATTTGTTTTGAATTTTTTGTTTGCTGTAAAGGTATTTAATTGTGTTTAGATGTTTTTTTTTTTTTTTTTTTTTGAGAAAGAAAGTTTGGATTTTATATACTAGCTGCAAAAATTAAAGACTATTTGAATATTGTTTAATCTTTTTTTTTTTTTTTTTTTTTTTGAGAAAGAAAGTTTGGATTTATATATTAGCTGAAATTAAACTATTTGAATATTTGTTTAATCAATTAAATGCAACCAACACACGATCCACAGGAGAGGCAATGATGCATGAACTAAAACTCTCATATAGACGAGGACATTTTAGTCTTTCATTATAACAATTGACGGTAAAATTCTTTTTTATAAAAAAGAAAAAGTTACCTTTCCGTTGCCGGGAATCGAACCCGGGTCTCCTGGGTGAAAGCCAGATATCCTAACCGCTGGACGACAACGGAAAGTGCTGCTCATTTTCGTTTACGCAACTTATAATGGTAACAGACAGCAAGTCCCTCACAAGCGTAACTCTTAGTTAGTCACAAACTCGCAATTGAATTAGTAAATTTATATTGGTTTTATTTTCTTGATAATTTATTCTCTACTTTATTTTCAATTTTATAGGATAGCATTAATTTTATGATGAATTAGGTTTTAAGTACTGAATTAGGCTCTTGAACTTTTTCAATATAATAATTTGTTATTTACCTTATAATTTTGATTAATTGAACTTGAATTTATCCCGAAACTCAAATTGAAAAGCAAATATATCAAAGTACATTCAATAAATTAAAAGGTAGATAAATAATAAGACATTAATATCAAATTTATAATAATCCATTCTAAATTTATTTTTGGGACATCAGTTTATGGAGTCAACCTTTGGTAATTTTGCTGTCATTCCAATCATTTTCTTCCATTTATGTTTTTAAATTCTGATTTTTTTAAATAACAAAATGGATATATTTAGAGTCTTTTAGCTGAAATTTGAATTTATTCAAGAGTCAATTAGACTGAAAAGAATCTATTAAAGCTGATTAAACCAATTGAAAAAAAAAAAAATCAAGGACCAATTTATCACTTTAACAAGACAAAATCATTGCAAACAAGCACGTGGTTGAGCAACAAATGCTCTATGAACTACACGTTATTTCAGTTAAAATGATATTGCTTAAACACAACGACGTTTCAATCTTAGAAAATGAAACTAATCAACAAGGTGTCTTACATTTTGCAAGTCTTAAAATATTATCCACATGAGGTTTTCTTCTGCAATCTACATCATCGACCAACTGAATTGAACGATTCGGTGAATGTCATTGAAGGTGCACTATAATTGAATAAGGCAGGACCATAGGACTCTCCTTTCTGATCTTGACTCGGAAGATGAAAATCAAAATTTTCTGGGATCGAAATGTGACCTTTCAGGTACAGCAGAACTTGTGACATTCTTGGCCTAACTTCTGCAACAGGATGAGAGCACAGCAGGCCAAGCTTTAAAAGTAATATAACCTCATCAACCTTAAAATCATTATTCAGTTTTGGATCCACCGTACTTAAGATCTTCCCTTCCTTCCATCTCTGGTATACCCAATCGACCAAATTCACCTCTTCAGGCAAAACTCTTGACTCCACTGGCCTTCTACCACAAGAAACCTCCAAGCAAAATGCCCCAAATGCATACACATCAGTGCTAGTAGTTGGCTTGCCATTTTTAGCAAGCTCTGGAGCTATGTATCCAAAAGTACCTGCTACATGAGTTGTTTGAGGATCTTGTGCATGTTGGCTACTTCTTGCAAGCCCAAAATCACCCAATTTTGCATTTAATTTATCATCTAACAACACATTGCTTGCTTTAATATCTCTATGAACAATAACTTCTACCCATTCTTCATGAAGATAAGTAAGTGCTGAAGCAACATCTTTGACAACCTTAAACCTTTGATTCCAATTAAGAGTTTGTTTTGCATTATTGTAAATGAACTTGTCAAGACTAGCATTAGGCATGTAATCATAAACCAAAAGGAGCTCAGCTTTACCACGACAATATCCAAGGAGGCGAACCAAATTACGGTGACGCAGTCTACAAATGGTTGCAATCTCAGCTACAAATTCTTTCATTCCTTGTTTAGAATTGTGAGAAATCCTTTTTACTGCAACCTGAATTTTTGATACGGGAAGCAAACCTCTATAAACTTCTCCAAATCCCCCTTTTCCAAGAATTTCACTGTCTTTGAAACCTTTAGTAGCTGAATATAAGTCCTTATATGAGAATCTATGAGGTCCATACTGAATCTCCCAATTTTCAAGTATCTCATGGAATTTAATTTCCTTTTTCCTAAAGAAAAAAAGAAAGGATATTATTATAAGCAGCACCACAACTCCGGTTAAGGACAATCCGATTGCCAATATTTTCTTCTTAGTTTTGGGTAGGTCTTCACTGGATAGAGATTGTAGTCGTGACAAATCTAGTTGGGCCTTACCTTCCACCTGAAAGCTCCAGCCAAGAATATAATGGGACTGTACCAGTCGACCGGTGGAGGACGTAAATCCTACATATATCTGGTCTAAAATAATAGGAGAAATGTCTCTGTTCAAAGACAAAAGTGGAAGTTTAGGTTTACTAACTTGAATTGGAGATAAAGTAACATTAAGTGGATTATCCTTGGCATCATATTCTATCCAAACTTGTATTCTTTCTCCACTTGCAAGACTCAAATTCTTGAACTCACCAGTTGCGTCTACAAAATAACCAGCAGGAGCTGATTTTACAGATGTTAAGCTGTTGATGTCAATGCCAACATGATTTTCATTAACATCATAAAACTCCTGGTTCTGAAACGTGTCAAACTCAACCGCAAGAATATGATTGGACGGGTTTCCATCATTTGTTCGGTTAAATAATCCAAGATGTTGAGATGCTGCTCCAGAAAATTCTTTGGAAGGAGCAATCACAAAAGTCATTCCGTGGCCATTGAGTTTGTTCTCGTCAGTGACAATGGCGAGTATAAAAGCAGTTGAGAAAGAAAACGCCTTGCCGCTTGATGAATTCTTCAAAATCTGTGGTTGAGCATAAAAAACACGTCCAACTGTAAAAGTTGATGCGTTTGTAAGTCTGAAAAGATTATCACTGGAGACTTCTGCTCCACCATCTAGATCTATATTTCCGTTGAAGGTAAAACCGCCGGTATTGGCGGCTGCCACTCTGATCAAAGCAGTTACTGTCACAAAATATACTTCAAAAGACATTTTCATAATCTCAGTGGTTTTTGGCTGGTGCAAATTTTGTATTCTTCTTCTGTGTTTCAGACTTTCAGTTTATTGTTATTGTTAAACTCTAGAAAAGTCAGCAAGTCTATGCGTGTTAAATTTCAAAAGCTGCGGCTCCATTGTATTAGAACTTTGATTGATTGAACAAAGCTTATTTTTAGATCCACGTGTTTGACTAACCTGTAGTTCTGCTTCAATTTATTATTATTATTATTATTATTATTATATTTACAATTCTTCTCTTTGGAAGGATTTTTGCTTGAATAATATAAATCCCAATCCAAACATGCAAACACATGCATGTGAAAAATAAAAACTATATTTTTTGTGGAAAATAATATTTATTGAAGTACTGTATCCTGCACAACTAAAGGGTGAGTTGCTTACTTTTTGATTTGAATTTATTTTATTATTTGAGCCATTTTTTATGTAAATGATTTAATTTGACACTGAATTAATCAACCACATTTATATTAGATAATTCATCTATAATGTTGAAATTTTGAAATCATCTTTATAATTTTTATACTTTCATATCACCTTAAGAATAATATTAATGAAATTCATTAATTTTCTTAAACATTTTTAGACTAAGATAATTTATATATTGATTTTGTATTTTTTTTTTATCAAGTAAGTATAATTTTTATTTTATTTTTTTAAAAAAATTAAGTATAATTTTATTGAAGCATAAAAGATTTATTTACTAATACACTAGTACACTAGAATATAAAGACTTTAAGAGCGACGCACGAGGATTTAGTTTTTACACAAAAGAATGAGGGACGGACACGTTTAAACGACGTATATATCGCTTAAACACAGCGTTTCGTTCTTGAAAGAAAAAAAAAAGTTGAAAGGGCCATGGCCCACGCTGCCTCTTTCCTCTGCGAAGGCCAGGAACTGATCCAGTGGAGCTAGAAATGGGAAAGATCGATCAAATTTAATGGAAAGGAATCAATCAATCCAATAAGAAATGCCAGTGAGAATAGTTGAGACCTCTGCACCTTCTCAAATCTCAGGTGATTCTACTCTTCATTTTGAATTTGGACTGTGCTTAGGGTTTCTCTTTTGAGAATAATTGTTTGATTATATATAAATTTTATATTTCAGCTTAATCGAACCCTAACATATATGTATATGGTTCATTGTAAAGGTGCAAACTCTGGACAAACATCGCCTCCATTTTGTACTCTTTTGAGTGTTGGACAGGTTATTTTTCATTTTTTTATCTTGTTATTCTTCTTCAATTCGTTATCCTTATCGACTGATGGATTGATTGAGCCCATAAAATTAGCGTTTTTATCATTTAATTTCCCAATTTTTGGTTAGATTTGCATGCGTGCATATGATGCCAAATTGCAAAGATAAGTTGAAATAATTTTGTTTGCAGGCCTTTTCTGGCACCCAGAATGTTTCTAGCATGCAAAAAGATGAAGCATGGAGAGTTAATGTCCGAATTCAAGGATGTGACCTTGATCATGGTTACTTATGTGGCACTATGGAAGCTTTGAATGTTCCTATGGCTGATACACCAGTAAGCCTCTTCTTTTCTTTCATCTGTGAAATTTTTAGTTTGGTTTCTCTTCTTTCCTTCATTTTTCTTTCTCTTAATATAATTCATTGAGCTGCAAAATAAGGTAATTTTCTTTTTTGGAATATTGCAACATTGGACAATGAAGAATTGAGCATTTATATATATATATTATCCTTAAGAGTTTGTGCATTTTACTAATTTTCCTCATCTTGTTGAAACATGACTTGGTAGGTTTCTATCAAAATAATTTGTTTCCACTTTATTGATATGTATATTAATTTTGATTATATGCAATCTATATAAGCAAAATTTGTTTTTGCTCTGTTGCTCTTATGTCGTTTATAGATTATAGGACATCAAATGCTATCGTAGTTTTGATGCTCCAAGTTTTGTCCATAAAATTTTTTCATATATCCCTCTTTTTTTAGGGTAAATTTTTCTTGCTAGCACGCTTTGAGTGGGTCTGGAAATCTCATGGACCTCATTATACGATAGATGGGTTCCATAAAATGCCACCAAATTTCTTCTGGTTTGGCTCAATATAATCCAGTGGTACAAAATATTTTTCAGTCTTCCATTTAAAAATGTACTTTATTTACATGTTATTCGTGCCAGGTAGTAACATTCTGGGAAGGGGAAATTGTTGACGGCAAGAATTACACTTTCTTCACTGGCAAATGGGAAGCATCGTATGTACCTTTTGTCCATTCTTCCTTTGTTTCTTAAGGTTGAATGAAATATAGATAATAGTGATGGTGGACAAGAACTCTATGTTAATAGGGTTGATTGCTTAGTTGTATATATATCAAATTTCAGTTTTCCCCTTCTAATCAGTTTAAGATATTTTTAAACAGGCCAGAAGATGATATAAGACATTGGACAAAGTTTCCATATTTCGCCCCCTTCTCGGTAAGAAGTAAGAACTTATTATATCATCCTGGAGGATCTGCTCATTACTGACTTTGCGCTTTGTAGTGCCAAGTGGAGGTTGACGGTGGCAAATCCTTGGACTTGAGTAACTACCCATACATATTTATGGTAATAATTTATACCCAATCATATCATCAATTTGTGAAAATTATCAACATATCATACATTTATAATTTTTTTGTTCTTTTCTATGATTTTGTCATATAGAGATGGAAAGAGCAATATTTTGTCAATGTTGGAACAGACTGTGGATTAACCATAGCTGGGTTTTACTATGTTTGCTTCTCTTGTGCTGATGGGTCAATCAATGGCTTCTATTATGATCCTAATAGCAGGTACTTTTTTTTTTTTTTAATCCCAACTTCATTAAAGGCATTCTAGATTGTACAATTTCTCATTTGCTGTGAGAATATAATAAGAGCAATATTTTTGTCAAGTGTTGCGAACAGACTGTGGATTAAACCATAGCTGGGTTTTTACTATGGTTTGGCTTTCTCTCTGTGCTTGATGGGTCAGATCAATGGCTTCTTATTATGATCTAACTTAGCAGGTACTTTTTTTTTTTTTTTTTAATCCAACTTCATTAAAAGGCATTTTTTTTTTTTAATCCCAACTTCATTAAAGGCATTCTAGATTGTACAATTTCTCATTTGCTGTGAGAATATGAAACGTGTACAATTTCTCATTTGCTGTGAGAATATGAAACGTTAATGATTGATGTATGTCCTGAAAACCAGTTGACTGGTCTTGAACACCTTTCAGTTATTTTTTGACTTCTGTCTTTGGGAACAAACTAATGGATAAAATAATTGCTTGAATCAACCTGCAGCCCATTTCAGAAGCTTGAACTGAAATCCACAAATGAGGGAAGATCAGGCTTCAGTTTTTCATCTTATGAGTTGCAGTAAATCGGAGCAGGCACACTTGATACCAGGATTAGCTCGTGTCCCAGCTGAACTTGTTAACTGGAGATTTTCAACTAGAACTAAATCTCTGAAAATCATGGCGCATTTTCTGGGGCAGAGGTTATCAGTGCATATGAGAATTGTTTTAGAAAACTTCACGGGACGCCGAACCTTTTGATGTGTTCTGTTCTCTCCTCACTGAAGAATGGTGTATTCTTATCACAAGTATTTATCTTTCAAACTGAATAAGATATATGATATCTGGTAAGCCTTGTGAATTTTACATTATGGTTATTACAATATTTAACTTTCAAAAGCATTTTGTTCACTCGTCTGCATCTTTGACAAAAGTTTCGTTGTTCTTATACATGTAATTCAAGTTTCTTTTGATGACCAGTTGGAAAAGTTTAGCATTAAGCTTCCTACCACCAGACACTAGTAACTGGTTGGTATATTTGATAAAAATGAAGTGAAATAATTTTAAAATTTATTCGATATTATAATTAAAATACTAAAAAATAAAATTTGTAGATTATAGTATTTGATTCTCAAATTATTCGTTATCAACTGTTGTTAGGTGTTACTCCTTCAGTTCTATTAGATAACTAACTTTTTCAGTTCTTAAAAAAAAAAAAAAAAAAAAAAAAAAAAATATTTGATTCTCAAATTATTCGCTTATCAAACTGTTGTTTAAGGGTGTATACTCCTTCAGTTCTATTTAGAATAATACTATACTTTTTAGTTTCTTAACAACAAAACAAAAACAACACACAACAACAAAAAAAGAACTCCCACACAACCAATTCGAAGATGTATATTAAATTATTTTTCTTAACTTTACACCCATTTACCTCTGTATTCTTTAATAATTTGATCGTTACACCATGACAGACGGCCTTCTCCTCCTAGCCTTAAATCTAATCGGCCGCTGTTTTTTTAAGTTACTTTTTTTAACCAATCCTTAAAAAAAAAAAAAAAAAAAAAAAAAAGAACTCCAAAAAATTCGAAGATTATATTAATTATTTTTTTAACTTTACCTTTACCTCTGTATTTTTAATAAATTTTATCGTTAATGAAAGTGTAGCTTAATCTAATGGGGTGTTTTAATTATTTTTTAAAATCCTTTTTTGAAAGGAATTATTTTTTTAATTTAGATGGGAAATAAAAAATTATCAAATTTATTTGATAGGACGGAGAGAGTAATAACAAATTACAACCATTGAAACAATCATCAATTAATTATAAAATGCAAGCATAAATATAAAGCGTAGTCTTCACTTTAAAATTTATTGTAAAAATGCATAGCATTAAATTTCATGTACTGATTTCTTTTCCGAATGAAGAAGAAGGTCTCTGATAATTAGCTGTGGCTGCAATCAGAGTTCATCCCAATCGCATTATCAATTCAACCAGCAGTGGGTCCACTCCCAGCTGGAAAACGCCAAATACCGTGAAAATCAGGACCCACAAAAGCAATAATATCTTCTCTATTCTATATACACTTGTCTCACTTTCCTCCATTTGGATCATTTCTCCATTTGTGCTTGTCATCTTGCACAGGGCCATGCTTAATAGTTCCATTTTCATTTTTGAAAATGGTCCTTTTATTAGTTTTTTTTTATAATATCCTTATAATATAATTTATAACAATAATTAATATATATAGAATTACTAAATATTTAGTCAAATATAAATATAAAATTATTAAAACATGTGTCAAGATATTAATTTTTTATTAAAAACTCTATAAATAATTCCAAATTTAATCAAAAAATTATTAATATACGGATATATATGAAAAAGGAATGATAAATGTTTTGAACTAATTAAACTACTATTTTTAATCTGTGTGAGAGAAAATGATCTAACTATTTTTTTTGGGACGGAAGGAATAGAAGGGATGAGAGAACAAATCCTCAACCAAAAATTAAGACAACAGAAATCTTACCTGTGGCCAAACTACTCCTTCCATATGTACCGCAGAAGGATGATTAAGAACTTGCCGAGCAACACCACCAGAAATAGCGATATTTTGCTAATTTGTCTGCAACGCGATTCGTTTCCCCGATAACAGTGAAGTACTCTTGACATAAGAGACTCAAAATTGCAATAATATTTGCAAATTATAACATAATTTTTTTTTAATTCCAACTCTTATATATGTATATTCACATTCAAATAATTAGAGTTCATTAATAAGTGATCCTCAAAATTACAAAATTATAAGTTTGCTTCTCACTATGAGCCAATTAATAAAACAAATAAACTGCACAATTACATATAATTTATGTTATTAGATTATATATATATTAAAAGAAAACACACATAAAATATGAACAAAACATAATTTAGTAAAATCATGACAATTTTACAAAATATGCTAAGTTGCCGTTTATATAACGCAAATACTCCATAGTAAACGTGGGATCTTGAAGGACCAGTCTCCATATGGTTCAATTAAATGTAAACGGTATCACATAAGTAATTTATATTTTTTACTTGCATATGCATTCTAATCCAGAGTAATAATTAGGTAAAATTTTCTCAACACCCCGCCCCCCATGTCGGATGAAGAGAAAAAGTAGGGATCAGAATCATAGTTCATCATTTCCCTGTCCACTAAACTGTACACACAGTAAAAGTAAAAATCATGTTAGGTGGAACTTTAGGAGTAATTAGAGCCGTAATTAGTGGATAGTTAGAAGCAGTTTGTATATTAAACGTCCCACTACAAACCTGTAACAACCAGTAAAAGTAAAAATCATTGTTAGGTGGAACTTTAGCAGAATATCTAGGATAAGCCGTAATGTAGTGATAGTTAAGAGAGCTAGTTTCGTCCATTATTAAAACAAATCGTAATCTTTACAGGAAAATCGAATAACAATTTTTTCCCTCTGTGGAAAACATCCGGACAAGTATCAAGAGCTGGTGTTTTTCAAGTCAGAACTGACTGACACATTTAGCTCATCACCTACCTTCTGACTACTCGAACATTAACCAAATGCATCATTCAGTCTGATGGATAGTGTTATCATACCTCGGGGTCTCAACGACGAAGATCCTGACAAGAATTGCAACCCCCTGAGTTAATACCCAAAAACCAGAAACAAAAACCATTTCAGATAACCTCACATCAATGTTCAAAGTTAAATAGGCCAAATTATGCCAATATGGTCACGTATGATTGAAACGTAGCTGATTCGGGGGAAAATCAGAAAAATTTTTAACCACATCACTGAAGCCTGTCTACCCACCTCCATCCGCTGGCCTGGAGACCACATTTTTTTTGAAAAGTGGGAACAAGAAGATTTGATTGTGTTCTCATGGTTAATTCAGAACATGGAACCACAACTAGCAAACAACTTAACAGAGTATTCCACAGCTAAAGATTTGTGGAATGCTCTTGTTATCACATATAGCAGTGGGAAAGATAAGTTACAGATATTTGATCTACATACCAGAGCAAACAGCATGAAACAGGGATCATCAACACTAGAAGAATTTTGGCTCACCATGCAAGGAATATGGGGGGAGATCGATTGCAGGGAGCCTAATCCGATGACATGCTCAACAGATATCGCGACATACAACAAAGTCAAACAAGAACAAAAACTATTTCAATTCTTAAATGGAATAGATCACCTGTACGATCAGATCAAAAGGGAAATCCTCAGATCGGAGCATCTTCCCTCAGCTGAAGCCGCAAGAACAAAAACTATTTCAATTCTTAAATGGAATAGATCACTTGTACGATCAGATCAAAAGGGAAATCCTCAGATCGGAGCATCTTCCCTCAGCTGAAGCCGCCTACGCCTCTGCTCGGAAAGAAGCCGCCCGATTGAACATCATGGGACCAGCTAACAGAGAATCGCCATCACAGGGCATAGGCGACGGATTTGTCATCATCGGGAAGAAAGAAGCAAGCGAAGCAACTGGTGTAGGACTCGTCGCGCGTGGCCAGCGGCGGTCAGAACCAAGAAACGATGGTTCATCATCCCGTCCAGATAAATCGAGACTCAAGTGCTCTCATTGTGGGATGAGCAAACACACAAAAGATCAATGCTTCGAATTAATTGGGTATCCAGAATGGTGGAACGAGAATCACCGAAACAAGGGCACAAAGACCAGCAAAGCAGCCGCCGCCGTGGGTAACTGAGAGGCTGCCAGCAGCGGTGGCAACAGCAGAGGAGGTCAGAGTGAGAGAGGAGCGATGGGGATGGTGGCAGCACAAAATGAAAGGGCAGATGGAACCCTAGAAGGTGAAGGAAAAAGAATGGGGTCATTTAACATAAAACCCAAATCTTTTGAAAATAATAATAAACAGACAAGAAAAGATAATCGTTGGATTTTTGACTGTGGTGCTACTGATACAATGACTTTTGAGGCGGCCCCAAATCTTTTGAAAATAATAATAAACAGACAAGAAAAGATAATCGTTGGATTTTTGACTGTGGTGCTACTGATACAATGACTTTTGAGGCGGCTGACATAATAGCACCATTAAAACCAAAAAAAACCCATGTCCAAACTGCAAATGGAAGCACTGCAAGCGTAGAAGGAGCAGGATCTGTTGAAATTTCACCGACATTAAAAATACCAAATTGTCTTTATGTTCCCTCATTGTCTCATAAATTGTTGTCGATTAGTCATGTGACAAAGGAATTAAATTGTATTGTACTAATACATCCTACCTTTTGTATTTTACAGGATATCAGGAGCGGGAAGATTATTGGACGTGGCACTGAGCATCATGGATTGTATTATGTGGATGAAGTGGCCCAACACGGTACTGTAATGCTGGCTCACGGAACTACTGAACGGGAAGCTTGGCTTTGGCACCGACGACTGGGACATCCATCCATAGGTTATTTAAGTCTGTTTATTTAAGGCTGTTTATTTTCCAAATTATATTTAAGTCAAATATATATTGTTTAAAGTGTGAGACGTGTGTTTTGGGCAAAAAGTCATAGACACAAACTTTTAAAGCCGAGGCTGAATACCCATTATGGAGTCTCCTTTTTTCTTTGGTTCATTCTGACTGTGTGGGGGGTCCAGCCTCCTGTCTTAGGAGGTCAAGGTTTTAGATATTTTTACTCTTTTGTTAGATGACTGCACTCGTATTATGACCATGGGTGTATTTTTTTGAAAAAATAATACTTGAAGTTGTGAGTAAATTTATTTCTGTTTTATGACTATGATCCACAACTCAGTTCAATCAATCAATCATCAAGAAGTTTGCGATGCTGAGTAATGGGGAGTGAATACCATTAAATGAATCCGATGAAGCAATTATTCCACCAAAAACGGACGGAATCCATGAAGCAATTTTCTCACCAAAAAGGACTTGTCCATCAAACAACTTGTCCTCACACACCCGAACAAAATGGTGTGGCAGAAAGGAAAAATCGCATTCTTCTTGAAATGACTCGTGCCATGTTAATTGAGTCTGGTGTCCCTAGATTTTTTTGGCCTGAAGCTATTGCCACAGCAGTCTATCTTTTAAACAGGCTTCCCACTAAAGTTTTAAAACTTCAGACACCAATACAAATGCTTGCTCAATTTGCCTCAATTCCCTCAACTCTTACAATTCAACCTCGAATATTTGGGTGTTCTGTTTTTGTTCATATACCCAAAGTTGACCGAACAAAATTTGATCCTTGTGCTATTAAATGTGTGTTTGTGGGATATGGGGTCAATCAGAAGGGTTATAGATGTTACGATCCAAAAACCCGTCGAGTATTTACTACCATAAATTGTGACTTCCTTGAAACTGAGTATTACCTGAGTATTACTATAATTATCCCTACAGTGGTCAGGGGGAGAGAGAACGTTATAAAGATCGAGCACGAGTTGGTTTTCCAAGTTCAGGACACGTTCCATCAGAACTCGAGTTAACAATTCTAAAAAGTGTCCCACTCCGGGCCATCTGAAGCTATTTAATAACAGTGCTATCTGGACTCAATTACCACTGAAGAATAGTCTTCCTTCTTCCTGATAGCCTGAGGTAAGAGAATTCTGATGCTGGTCCTATGAAACTTTCTGTTATTGTGAACGCTAACTGTGATAATTTTGTGAAGAAACCTCTGTAGAACAGTGTGAAGAGAATGTTGGACAGATATGTCCTATGCCACTCTCGAGTGACAGTAGGAGTTCCACCTAAGGATATTTTCCAGAAACAGAAGCACGAGGTAATCGAAATATGTCCAGTGACAATGTGGTCAGGGGGAGCCTTTTTATTCAATAAATGGCGCAAGCCTTCACGTCAGGGGGAGCTTATCAGAAAGGGCCAGAGCCTTCACTATAGCTCTATATTCAGAAGAAGTTCCTCATACTATAGAGCTTGCCTTAAAATCAAAAAATTGAAATCAGGCAATGAAGACGGAGATGGATGCTCTAATTAAAAATGACACATGGGAAAAATGTCAATTACCAGATGGAAAGAAATCAGTGGGTTGTCGTTGGGTCTTCACGATCAAACACAAACTGGATGGGACTGTTGAAAGGTATAAAGCTCGGTTAGTAGCAAAAGGATATACACAGACATATGGTATAGACTATTCAGAAACCTTCTCTCCAGTAGCTAAAATTGATACGATCAGAGTATTATTCTCGATAGCAGCTAATAAAGGATGGCCACTCCATCAATTCGATGTAAAAAATGCCTTTTTGCACGGAGATCTAAGAGAAGAAGTTTATATGAGAAGAAGTTTATATGGAAGCACCACCAGGGTTCACAAATGGATTTAAAACTGGAGAAGTCTGTCGTTTGAAGAAGTCACTTTATGGTCTTAAACAGTCTCCAAGAGCTTGGTTTGGACGATTTACAATTGTAATGAAGAAATATGATTTTAAACAAAGTAATTCAGATCATACATTATTCCTTAAGCAAAGGGGTAATCTTATTACTTGTTTAATTATCTACGTTGATGATATGATTATTACAGGAAATGATGATGAAGAAATGTCAAAGCTGAGAAGGAACTTATTCACTGAATTCGAAATGAAAGACTTAGGAGCACTGAAGTACTTCCTTGGAATTGAAGTATTGAGATCAACAAGTGGAATTTTTATATGTAAACCAAGTGGAAATTTTTTATATGTTCAACAAGAATTTTATACCTCTGGTATGTTCTTGGTCAAGAATATAGGAATGGTTGACCTGGCAAGCACAGCTGACTAGTCGCCCTATTGCAACGACCAAATCATTCTGCTTTCAGATAGTAGATAGGATGCAGAAATCGGTTGAATAAAGGAACAGTATCAGACTAGGTTGGAAAATTATTTATCTTTCAACACCATATCTTCTATATTTCAGACATTAGTCTTATATGAGTTGGAGTAGTAAGTCATTCATGCACAGACCCAATCTGGATCATTATGAATGCAGTGTTTGCTCTGTTGCTTAAATTGGGCACGCCTAGTCAGGATTTCTTGTTTCGGAATGCGGCCTTGGCATTCAACGAGTTATACTGATGCAGACTGGGCAGTTTAGTCATGTTGATCGGCAGATAACTACTTCAGTTGCTACTTCACCGTTTGTTGGTCTGGAAACTTAGTCACATGGAGAAGTGTAAACCAGAAAGTTTGTAGCGGCATTGTCTATGTGCAGAGGCAGGAGTTTCGAGGATTAGCTCGTGGTACTAGCTGAAATATCTTTGGGCTAAGGATAATTGTTAAAGTGAGAATTGGTTTTTTCCTCCATCTGAGCAACGGTAAAATTAAATGTAAGTAAAATTATGTGTGATAATAGAGCTGCAATCAGCATTTCAGAAAATCCTGTTCAACATGATAGGACCAAGCATGTTGAAATTGATAGACACTTCATCAAAGAAAAACTAGAAGCAGGAATTGTGGAATTGCCGTTTGTTCGATCTGAAGATCAGTTGGCAGATATTTTGACAAAAGCAGTTAATGGAAATTCCTTTCATAACGTATTAAACAAGTTAAGTATTGGAGATCCCACTACTCAACTTGAGGGGGAGTGTCGGATGAAGAGAAAAAGTAGGGATCAGAATCATAGTTCATCATTTCTCTGTCCACTAACCTGTACACACAGTAAAAGTTGTACAATCAAGTTAAAAAGTAAAAATAAATCATGTTAGGTTGGAACTTTAGGAGTAATTAGAGCCGATTTAAGTATTGGAGATCCCACTACTCAACTTGAGGGGGAGTGTCGGATGAAGAGAAAAAGTAGGGATCAGAATCATAGTTCATCATTTCCCTGTCCACTAAACTGTACACACAGTAAAAGTAAAAATCATGTTAGGTGGAACTTTAGGAGTAATTAGAGCCGTAATTAGTGGATAGTTAGAAGCAGTTTGTATATTAAAACAATGTAATCTTTACAGAAAATAATAACAATTTTTCCCTCTGTGAAACACCCCAAACTCTAGAATTTTTTCTAATTTTGCAATAAAAAAATTTTTTTTCTTCAATTTGGTTTCTCTAACTTTTGAAAATTTTGTTTTGACCACCTCAAGATCTAATTAAAGTCTAGCTTGACCATGTTTCTCAACAACATAATTTTAAATTTAGAATTTCTAATCTTATAAGTAAAATTTACCACTCACGTAATTAATTATGTTTTTATTAGCTTTGATTTAGCTTTCATGATTATTAATTCCATTAAATTCCTCTACTTAATTTTGTGCAGGCCTATTCACACAATCAAATCAACCAATAATAACTACAGTAACATCATAAAATAATAGAACAGAGTGCTCCTTCCCGATATGCACATTAATGGAGCTAACAACCTCGTGCGTTCACGCAATTGGTTACTGCAGTCAAAAAAATCCATGCAAAGCATTTACCTCATTTCATGAGGGACATCTCCTGTTCTTAATATCTCCCTCTCCCTCTCACCTTTCCCTTCTATCCACCACCACCACTCTTCCTCCAACTACCTTATTATACATTCCACATTTGCGTACCCTTTTTGTTAAGTACGAAACCCAGTTGTACAATTGTTTTTCAAAGATGATTTCTTGTCAGACGCAGTCTAATTAATATTGCTCTATATATACCTATCAAGGGTTCATTTTAGTTTCTTCAGAGCCCAACTATGGATACTTTTTTGCTTTGTGATGAAGCTTGGCTCTCTACTCCTCCTCCAACTCCTGGTTACTGTAATAATGTAGAAAGTTACTCTTCTTCTTCGTTGTATACTAGTAAAGAAGAGTGTGAGCAGGCTTTTTCTATTTACTTTGAAAAGGAGTTAACCTACATGCCTCAACAAGGATACTTGGAACATCTTCACTTTAAAAATTTGTTCTCTGCAAGATTCAGAGCTATACAATGGCTTATTAAGGTTGTTTTCTTCTAGTTATGGCTGCCTTTTTATTTTATTTTTGGTTAATGTCAAAATCATTCGTCTCAAAACCCATTCAGTTTCTCTATATATAATCTTGCATTGCCATGCAAGACTTTGATGTCTTCGTAAAACCTGTTAGTTATTGATAACTAATTTTTAAGATTGGGCTCGACTTTCTAGTATGATAAAAAAACTTGATAAAGATTTATTCTAATATTAATTTAATTTAATTTAATTTTTCTCAGTCTCGCAGTCGGTTGGATCTTTCTTTTATTACCCTCTTCAATGCAGTGAATTACTTCGACCGATTTGTATCTATAAATCAATGCAAGGTAAGGAATATTATTGGATTTTATATATATATATATATATAGTTTTCTTGTTTTAGGTTTGCTAGGAAACTATTCTTGATTTTGAAACTATGATCTTCTCATGTATCAAATTAATTGAGGTTATTTAATTTAATATTTTGGAGGGATGGAGACATTGGATGGTTGAATTGCTATCAGTGGCTTGTCTATCTGTTGCAACCAAGTTTACTGAGACATTTACTCCTACCTTATACGAAATCCAGGTGACTATTACTATTTTTAATTACTCTGTATATCATATAATTATAATTATTTATGCTATTAATTAACTAATAAATATATATGGTGAAGATGGAGGAGTTGGATCATTCATTTGAATCAATTACAATCCAACGGATGGAATTGATGTTGTTAAAGGCATTAGGATGGCGCCTTTGCTCTACAACAGCTTATTCTTATGTAGAGCTTTTGATGATGAACATTGAAGTACCCTTAAAACCTCATCTCCAAAAGGATTTTGTTGACCGAGTCAACCAGCTGCTTCTTGAAGCTATACTAGGTATATATATGTATATATATATATATATATATATTTGAATATGATTTCACATTAATTATTGATTATGTTGCAAGAAAATATTATTAGGGATGTTAATTATTAATTATAGCTAAAGATAATAGAGGGTTCACATCCTCTTAATCAAGTTTTTCGGAACAACAAACCCTGACAAGTTTAGCCACTTAGCAATTTCATCCATTACTAATTTAGGTTTTGAAATTCCATAAGCATATATCTTACAAGATGAGGAGCCTTACACAACCTCTTAAAGTCCATTTTTTTTTCTTTTTTTTTTTTTAAAAAAAAAGGTGTAAATGAGAGTTAATCTAGCATTTGTCAATTTTTAATGGAATGTTTGGTTTCAAAGAATATATATCATAAATTTGCATTTTCGAATAAAAAATTAAAATGATGCAGATTGCAAATTGATGGAATATCAACCAAGTATAGTTGCTGTATCTGCTGTATGGTGCGGTCTAGAAGAGTTACTTCCATCAAAATCCGACACCCAAATTGCATATATTAAAGGCTTCTTCGACCAAAACCGAAAGGTATACCAAATATATCACGACACCCAAATTAGCATATACGTTAAAGGCTTCTTCGACCAAAACCGAAAGAGTATACCAAATATATATATATATATATAATATATATATATAATCACCCATATCTGAAGAATAAGGTCTCGTTTTTGTTTGGGGCAAAATGAAATTTAGAAGAATGATTGAAAATAAGGTCTCGTTTTTGGTTTGCAAAATGAAATAGGAAGAAATGCATAATTATTTTATACAATAAAGTATCTATATATTCATTTATAAATTTTATATATATTTATTTGAATATTTATTAAAATTTCAACCAATCAAATAATGTCTAATTTATTTCGTAGAATGAAATAATCAAATGCCATAAAATTATGGAGGAAAAGATGGCTAATGGGAACTTGTTGAACTACTGCCCTTCAAGTCCAGTGACTGTTCTGCTGACAGAAGAGAAGATTGATGTCTACGATACCCAAATTGATCTCTCTCTCTTTCAAGTGTCGAACACTGATACTGAGTCTTCCAATAAGAGAAGAAAGAGGGAGGTAAGCTAATTAACGATTATCTCTTTCAAAAACCAACATCATCTAACAATTTTTGTTTAGCTATTTTATTGAATAATTTCAATTGTAAGGCTATGGGGTTGAAGTGGAATAAGTAATGCATCCACAAAGTGGGCATTTTCATCATCTGTAGTAATCTTTTTATGTAGTTGATGGAAGGATCTTGAAGATTACAGATTAATTAGCAGGTTGTTTGACGGTCAAACCTCTATTGATATGTTCAATTTCTTTTACTATTTTTGCTGTAAGTGGAAGCACTAATCACATCAAATTATTTGTCTACCAAATTAATTAAAAATATTTTTTTTATTTGAATAAGGGTATTTTTGATATTCACTCAAATAATAATAAAGGTCACAAGTTATAGTCTCGAATTTTTTCAAACCATTTAAACAGTAATTAGTTGATTTTTTTTTTTCTTATTTTCCTTTACATAAAACCTTAAGGATCTTAAAGATTGTATATTGATGATTCCTTAAAATTTTTATAATAGGACGAATAATTAGTATATAAAGATTTTAAAATCAATTATCATAAAATAAATTCAACTAACATTAAATATTTACATGGATTATATTATATGAGGGTACTAGGGATGTGCATGGGTTAGGTTGGGACGGAAATTTATAATTTTTTGGTCCCATCGCAAAATGTCGGGATGTAAAAAATGGAGTTCCAATCCCGTCTCATTTTTTGCGACAGGACTGAACAGAAATTCGGATCTATGGAACAGAACAGAATAGGTCGAATCAGGAATCAATCGGGATTCTCCATAGTTTTACTAAATCATTTTTCATCAAAAAAAGGTAAAAAAAAATTACTATATTCATCAACTACAATCAAACAAAATCTTTTGTAAAAAAATTACTATATTCATCAACTACAATCAAACAAAATCTTTTGTATAAGTTTGAGTTTTTTTTTTAAAAAAAGAATAAATCAAATAATTAATTCAATTGTTCATGATCTACTACTAAAATTATAATAGAAGATTTTTAAGTAGTTATTTTCTAGTTAATAAAAGTGTTAAATATAATAAAATAAAATAACACAAAAATTATATCCAAATTAATTTTATATATATTTGATGAATTTTAACTCATGATTGTTTTTTTCACTATTGTCTTTAAGTTGATTTTAATTTGATACTTATACAATTTAATCTTGAATATCATTTGAAAAATAAATAATGATAGCATTAATTATAACCAATAATCCAACAATCAGATTAAATGAAGTTAATATTTTGTCTTACATTGATTATCTTTCTATTTTTTGTTTAATAGAAAAAATTCATTAAAAAAGATTTATTGAACATATATTGTGGAATAATAGAGGAAAAATCTATGTTGAAAATTATGTTCAATTACTTTATTTATTTTATATTTAAAAAATGCATATTATTTTTTCATGTATATTTAAAAAATGCATATTATTTTTTCATGTTATTATTAGTAGTAATTGGTATCATAAAAAAAAAACCTAAAGTAAAAAGGATGAAATGATTTTTAGGGGCATAATTTGAAATTCATACAAAAAAGAAAACTAGAATTTTAAAGAGAAAATGGCACGAAAACTTATGATTTTCAGAACAGGACAGGACGGGACAAAATTTGGGTGGATATGAGTCAATTTTAATCAAAGAACCAGTCCCGTCCCATAAATACTTACGGGACGGGATCCTGGACAAGACTATAAAATTAACATCAAATTTTTATCAGGATGAAAAATTTGAGACGGTTTTCGGGAATGGATCGGGATTCTCGCAGTCCCATGCACATCCCTAGGGGGTACTATGAGAAAGTGACAAAAAAATATTTTCAAAAATGTAAATGAATTATTATTTTAGGATATCTAAGAAGGAGATTGAGACTATAATTTTGAGATGAAATAACTTTTTAAAAACTCTTGATGAATTAGTTTTATACAAGTCTTATTCCACTTAGCAACTAGTGACTCTGTGCTAGGAATGGGAATGGCAGCAGGTCGAGTACCTACGTAAAAACGCACTATAACCCGAAATTAGGTACTCAAATTGGTTTAGAAGTTCTTCAGTTTCTGAATCCATTCCAAACTCAACTATAGTTACCGTTTAAATACTGAACTCGTTTTAACTATCCATTTTAGTATTAAAAATAAATTTTTTTATATTAAAAAATAACATTTTAGTATTAAAAATAAATTTTTTTATTTTTATTTTTTAAAAAATAAAAATTATAAATTATAAAAATTAATATTTAGACTTAATAAAAAATATAATATAAATATTAAATACAATTTGATATAATTATCATTAAAAGATGTATATATATTTTTTAGAAAAGTAATTATTTTAAATATTTTTAGAATGTAAATTAAATGGGTAATAGGTAGAAGACATTCGACCTTGTATCTAATAGCTAATTTTACAAAACAGACCTTATATCTTAAGTAAGGTAGCTTAACTTAAATGGTCAAGGTGGAGGTCTCGGAATCTGTTTGGAACCTCCCCTCTTCTCTTTAAAAGAATGCAACATCTATCCGTTATAAGCTGGCCTTTAATGGGCTTTGTAGTTACATTGAAGTTATAAATTAGTTCTAATCACAGTATGTAATAATATCTTTTTACTGTATACTCCCTCTGATTTTTGTACAAATATTAAGAAAAAAATTAATTCTCAAATTATCATTTTAGTATTAAAAATAAATTTTTTTATTTTTATTTTTTAAAAAATAAAAATTATAAATTATAAAAATTAATATTTAGACTTAATAAAAAATATAATATAAATATTAAATATTAATAAGCGGTTTAATTATTATAATTAATTGAAAGGTAATTTGATCAAATATCCATTTTAGTATTAAAAATAAATTTTTTTATTTTTATTTTTTAAAAAATAAAAATTATAAATTATAAAAATTAATATTTAGACTTAATAAAAAATATAATATAAATATTAATAAGGGTTAAATTTATTATAATAAATTTAAAGGTAATTTGATCAAATTATCATTTATCTCAAAATTAATAATTGCTTGCGAAGTATTTATTGTATTTAGTATAAATAAGGGCAATATTGAAAAATATTTTTACTACTTCTTGAAATACACAAAATAATTTATATTTTTGGATAAAACATCAAATAAAAAATGACTTATATTTTGGAACAGAGTGAGTAATACGTAAAAAAGAAAAAAAGACTAATATCCTAATGCACATTCATAAAATAACAGCCACATCAGTGGTGGGACCAGAAAAAATAAATGGAGGGCAAAAAATTTTTTCAAAATTTTGAAGGGATGATATCGAAAAAGATTATTCCATTAGTCTCGTTTTGTTTGCATGTTTTAATATGCATATTAAAAATTTAATCAATAAAATTTTTTTTTGCTTTTCTATACCTTTAATAATTCATTAAGATATTGATAAAAACTCTTTATTTATTGAATAATTATAAATGTTATTATGAGAGAGATAATTATTTACATATTCAAATTTCGAAACTTTGCAAATAGTTTGAGACATAAAAAAAAATAATAAGCAAATAAAATGAGATAGAAAAAATATTATTTTATAAATAAAAAAAATAAAATTTTTATATTTTATGAAATAAATTTTTTTAAAAAATTAAAATTAGGTGGCCGCTGTCACCCCTAGTTTCACGGTTGCCCCGCACTATTACGAGATTAATTTAAGCCTAAAGGCACCAACTCCCATTATGTTTTATTTTTTTTTTTTTTATCAAGGATCTGTTTGTTTTAGTAAAATAATTTACAGAAAAATAATTTGCTGAAAAATATTTTGCTGAAAAATGAAAATATTTTTCAAATAAATTATTTTCCATTGTTTGGTTGTAATATTAGAAAGTAGTTAAAAATATTAAAGTTTTTGTCTCATAAGACCATAAAAATTATTAATAATAATAAAAAATTTATAATTTAAAAAATTTTATTGTTACATATGAAAAGAATGCAAAAAAATAAATAAATTATGAAAGCCGCCGATGGCTGGTGGTAGTGGCCGCCAGTGGCTGGTTTTAGATGGGGACTGATGATAGTAACTATGATAATTAATAAGTTAAAAAATATAGATTTTCAAAGTTTGTCGATGTCCGAAAAATGTTTTACTCTCTCAAAAATGGGAGGTTGTTTTCCTTAAAAAATGACTTAATTTTTCTTTGACCAGAAAAATATTGTCAACTGACTTATTTTCTTGAGCACCTCTAAACAATGAAAAATTGTGGAAAATATTTTTCTGTAAGTTATTTTACGGAAACAAATGGAGCCTAAGATAGTAAAGTTATGCAATTAACTGTCAAATAAACTTAGTTCTTATGTAAACATAATCATTTGATTTCCATTTATTTTTAAGTTAAAAATTAATAGGATTAGAATTTTCACATGTTAAACCCCAGTTTTAGTTTAGGGTTGTCGCTGTTAAACCCTAGTTTTAGTTTAGATCTGCCGTTATTTATCAATGACAGCCCCTACCTCCTACTTTCTACTATCTCTTCCCCTTTATCTTTTTTCTTTCTTCTTTTTTTTGCTTTTAATCTTCTTTTCCTTCAATAAACTCAAATTTGTTTTTTCTACAACGGATTTGTCTTTTTTCTTTTGTTATAGTTGGTTGTCCCCATATTTGGAGTTTTTCTTATCCCTTCTTTGTGAGGATAGTCCCTTTTTGTGAGGTTTTATTATTAAATAAAGTAATAATATCTGATTTTATTTGGTTAAAGACTTTAGATCTTGATCTGCAGGTGTGGATTTTCGATAGATAGAGCATGGTAGTGCAGCCTGTTCCTCTATTGATGCTATTAACGCATAGCGGCAGAAACTCATCTGTATCCATCATATGTTACTAATTATTGGAAAAACAATACAGTTATAGAAAATCCAGATAAGTTATTATTTTAAAGTCCAAATCAATTAACGTACTAGTTGCTGCTATGAAGATTTATATCTTTTGTCAAAATCAACTTCAAGCGGAAAGATCTAATATTATATTTTATATTTTTAATTTCATTATTCAAAAGAATATGAATTCCTTTATTTCATTAGAAGATCAGCGAATCATATTAGCTAGTAAAGTTCCATATTCTGATCTATATGTTTCTTTGTAATTCTTCATAATATTATTAATGACTTACATTTTTAAAAAAAAATTCACATGTTAAATTTCAAAAAAAAAAAAAAAAAAAGGAATTTTCACATGTTAACATGAAAATATTAAACCTTGTTATGATATTTTTTTTCTTGATAAAACAATTATTACTATATGCATAAAAACAGGGTAAAATTTCATTTGGGATAAATATCTAAAATAAAATTTTCGACGAGGTGAGCACTAAGCAATATAACTTTCTTATTTACTCTATTATAATGAATATTCTCAATTAGTAAAATATATACTTTTTTTTCACGTCAAAACATAGTCTTAATAAGTACATATATTATCTGACAATAAATTTAAGTTTAAATTCTCATTTCTAATACTCAAAAATTAAAAACATACTCTTTTTTTACCCAAAAATAACTCATGCACTAATTTGTTCGTATAATGCAAACACCATATTGATTACCATAGCATAAATCATGAGTTTGTTTATCCGCAATGCAAACTTCTTCCGGATCAATCTTCGCCTCCATATTAATAGAGTAGAGATTAATCATATCTATGAGCTATTAAAACGGATGAGAGCCTAGATACCAGTGCTAAGTAAAAAAAAATGCAAACACCGCAAAGTAGAAAAATAAAAGGCTATCTCCTCCACATAATCGATTGTGGGCCAATACCATGATGCGTAGAACGCATCACCACGCGCAGTTGGGCAGAGATAATGTAAACTGAAGAGATATAGCTATAGATAGAGGTAGTAGAGAAAGGGAGTGGCCAAAAAGAACACAAAAATGGCAGCAACTGCTTCATCTTTCATATCATCATCTTTCCTTCCAACTATTAATCCTCAAAACCAGCAATTATTGCTTTTCAAAAATTCTACCCATCAATTCACCAAAATTCCCAAGAAATCACCTCTCTACTTCAGGGTCCGGGCAGCAAGGCTTCCATCTGGTGTATGTTCTTTCTATCTCCTTTTATCACTGGTTAAAATTTTTGGGATTTAAAAGGATTTGTGGGGTTCTGGAATTTATTTATTTATTTATTTATTTTATCTGGTTTTTCAGGTGGAATTGCCAAAAGTGGAGCCAAAATTCAAAGCTCCATTTCTCGGATTTACAAGAACAGCTGAAATATGGAATTCTAGAGCTTGTATGATTGGTCTAATTGGAACTTTCATTGTAGAATTGGTGAGTTTATTATTTTTGTGTTTTGCTATTTGTGGAAAGGATTTTGATTTTTTTTTGTTTCATTATGGGATTTTGATTTTTCAGATATTGAATAAAGGAATACTCCAAGTGATAGGGGTGGAAGTCGGTAAAGGTCTTGATCTTCCTCTTTGAAGGTTGAATTTGCTTATACATGTATTTTGTAACTGGAGGACCTTGACATGATTTTTAACTGCTTCTGTTATGTAGCTTTTGCACTATTTTATGTGTAAACAACAGTTACTTGCAATATTATTTCTTCTTCCATAATCTGCCACTCAATGTTCAATCAAATTCAACAGTTTCTTTGGACACTAGAATACTATATTAAGAAATAATTTATGCAATGTGTAACCTCGGTAGTGCTGAAGGCTCTTATACTGGTTGTGAAGGGGAGACAAATGGATAGAGAGAAAAAAGAGTTGTCACTTATTTTATTGCAAATCTACAACCCTCTTGCCAGGATAACTTATTATTTGCAACAGATTTGTGCAAATATAGAAAAAGGATGGATAGTGTACAAGACCATGCATATTTCTCAGACAAATATCTAATGCTACATAATTCGACGGAGATGGCGCATCCATGCCTTTGGTGCAAGTTCTCGACACGTTGCGTACAACAAATTGGCAATCAATCTGTTGATTAGTTTTTGAGCCCTGCAAACAAGAGTTCTACTCATCCTGTTGGATCAAATCCCGGCATATTGTACAATAAATTGACACTGAAGTGCTGCTGCCCTTAGAGAAAGAAAAGTCATATTGCCCTGCCAATTCGAGCATCTATAACAGGCAATTTCTCCGAGGATTCTGAGAACTTCAGTGCCTCAGTTAGTGAAATGCGAGTGTTCCTCCATGCTGCATCTGCCCACCTTTTCATCTTTTCTCCTTCACTCTTCCTGTTCTGTTGAACACAGAGTGCTTCAGCGTACCCACCTGTTATATCAGCCAAAAGATTCAACATACTAACCCATAACAATTGGAAGATAACACATTTTGCAGCATCAGAGGCTAATTACACCTCTAGAAAAGACAGTGAGGCATAATTGCATTGATGCATGAAGTTAAACATGCTAACCAATTTAGAAACACAAAATCTGCGTCTAGGCAACAGCTTAAAATGATTCCAGGGAAATGATATTCATCAGTCATCAATGTGGAGAACATTCAGTCAGAGGCCATCTCACATTCAAGGGGTGAAAGAAGTGAATCCTAAGGTCTGATAAAGTGGGTACAAGTGCAGATAGTTTCACTTTTAAATATCAATACAAGACTAACTTCAAAAAACATGATAAAAATGATTGAACGCTAAACCATACCTTTTGCAAGGGCAACAATGTCCCTCCTAGTTGAACTTCCCATCCTCATACTGCCTATGGTATCAGAAAAGTAAAAAGTCATAAAAATGCTAGAACAGGCAGGTTAAGATCTATTAAAATTTTCCTCACCGTCAGAGTCCATTGGTGGAGCTTTCAGCAAATCTATTGCTCTCCTATAAAGTCCCTGCAAGTGATACAATACCAAAAACATTGTAAAACTTTGAAACTGTTGTGTGAACTATAAACACCACAGCATAATCACAGCACTGAAAGTTATATAACAGCACAATCGATAATTGAACCAACAAATGAACATCCTATTGAAAAAGAGGTGTGTGGGATGGAGTTATATCCAAAAAAAAAAAAAAAAAAAGCACAATCGATAAATTGAACCAACAAATGAAACATCCTATTGAAAAAAGTGTGTGGGATGGAGTTATATCCAAAAAAAAAAAAAAAAAAAAGAAAGAAGAAAGGTTTCTGTAACTTCCTAAAAAAAAAAAAAAAAAAAAGAAGAAGAAAGGTTTCTGTACTTCCTGAGCAAAACCATCTGATAGTAATCTGTCCAAAGTTTCAATGTCTATTAGGTAGTTCCTTACAACCCCATTCAAACTAATTAAGATCTAAGAAAGTCATCCTATTCTACCACACTTGTTCTTAAGATCCAAATTATAGTTCATAATTGATGTAAAAGACCTAATCAATAAACAAAATCAGCTAAATTGATTTATTGGATAAGACTTAATAAAGCAAGCAAAAAATGAGAATCTGTTAACGAGGTAAACAACAGGTATTAAAATCTTAGCATTGTCAAAATAACTATAATATCTATATGGGTTGTGTGAAGGGTTCTGACCTCCTGTATTAAAAGAGAACTTGATTGCTCTTGTGCTGCTTTATGCCGAAACATGAGAGCCAAGCAGGTTAAAACCACACCAACCTTGGGGTGACGAGAGCCTACAGGATATCAACAACAGTAAAGGACATGTAGACATATGAATTTGATCCAAGGTTTCCCGGATTATTTGAAATTAAAAAGACAAAATTAAAATTAACACACCAAAAAGTTCTTCTGCTTTATTCAATGCCTTTGTCAATGTCTCTTCTGCATCACTAAATTTCCTGAAATAAATGTTGAAATGATAGATATTGCATCAGAAGATCTAATTTAGCATTAATTACAAACAAAAGTCAAACAATTCTAAGCTTACCCCATATGTGCCTGAAGCTGGCCCAAGGCACAGATAGCTGCCAGCAGAACTTCTTCTGCAACCATATTGCAAGCTGCTAAAGCATGTATGCCATTGAAGTCTTTTTTTTCAGCAACTTCATTAATAACTTTGTGATACAAGTCCTTTGCCAATGAGAAGTTTCGTTTGGCATGCAAGAACTCTCCATAGGACAAAGCACCATTTCCTATATATCACAGCATCAGCATATGGTACAGAAGAGTTCCCTATAAGGTCTTAAGAAAAAAGAGATGCTCACCAACACAACCCTCACTGTCCTGAAATCCTTGGAATAATGGTTCAGCTGCACAGAATCAGGCAAACATCAATAATTACAAAATAAAAAAGTAAATTTAGCAATGCATTAGACATACCTAATCCAAGATTGCCACGGACAAGCTCCACTAGTCCTTTAACAGCTTTAGCACGAGCATTTGCAACTGCAAAGTCTCCGACTGTACTTTCATATTCATCTTTACCTAAGAGTTCTAAGCATTTATCTGCGAGCACTGATGAAGTATCATCCTATATAGGGAGAACCATCTCCAGATAAATCTTAAATCCTAAATATCAAATTGAAATGTGCAAAATGCATGCTTGAAGCAACTTACATTTCCCAACTCTAAATTAAGTCCCACAAGAGCTTCCATGGCAGAAACTACAAAAAAGAAAATAAGAGTCTAGTTAACATCCTTTTCATAACTGGAATTCGAAAGCATAATTAACTATAAAAGAAAGAACTTTTTATACAGTTAACCACCTCTTACACCCAAAGAAGAGTTGTCTAAATCTTGAATTTGCTGCAGCTTCTCTACTGCTTCATCGTAATTTTCTCTACATAACATAATTTTAAGATCAACATTACTTTCCCGATGTGCCAAAATGAAAATGAACAAAAATATAACATAAATAAATACATAAAAAGAAAATCTAAAAAGAAGAGGCATAAAGGAAAAACCTTTCAAATAACAAGTTAGACATGGCTAGTAGGACCATCCCCTTTGAATTTTGGGTCACAAAATCTTTGCCTTCACTTGACTGAGAAGAAAGGCACTGCTCCAATACCAGCATAGCTTGTCCATACGATTCATCTACTTATATAGTTGCATCCAGAAAAGGAAATTAAACAAAATCAGAAGGAATTATAAAATGATATGCCAATTAAAAAAAAAAATTAAGAAATAAACCCAAAAAACCTGATTTTTGAGATTTGGCAAGAGAGAGAGCGTAGTCGATCATCTGAAGAGCAACTGGGCTTGCATTTGGACCATTGATTTTTTCATGAAACAATCTCAACGGGGATGTTGATGAAGGAGTAAAGAGGAATGGTTTATTGGACAGGGATCCTAACCAGGCAGTTCGAGCAAAGTTTGTTGCTTTTCTTGATAACTTAACTGCGGAGTAAATCATCGTTATTTCCTTCTTGTTCCTCAAGCTTCGATTAGAAATTTTTAAAACCCTAATCGAAATAGGGAGGGTTTAGTGCTTCACTTGAATACTAGAGTCTATGGGAAGTTCGGAACCAGTACAAATGGGTGAGAATGATTACGTAACTTGCTGCTTAGCGCGATAAGTCGTTTTGTTTATTTAAATTGAAATTTAGTTTTGTCCTACGAATGGCAATGGGGCGGTTCGGAGCGGGTTATTCCTACCTCTACTCCTTGCGACAATTCACGTCTTTGCCCCGTCTAGCCCCGAAACTGCCGGTTAACAAAATTTCCATCCGGTCCCTGCTCCATAAGTAAAAGAGAAAATTATTTTGAGGTCCATGATGTGTTACAAACTTTATTAGATTTTACTTACTATTTATACAAATTATTTTGGAGTCGTTTAGGTAAGGGTCGTTCGACTCTTTTATTTTTTTATTATAAAAAAACTTAAATTAATTATTTCGGAATCGTTTAGATAAGGCTCGCCCAACTCTTTTATTCTTATATTATAAAAAGATTTAAACTGTTCTCATATGCTAAACTTTACTACTTATAATAATTGCATCCTAAAATAAATTTAAACTCCAAACATTTTAATTTTAAATTTGTGTTATAATTGTATCCTCATCACATATTCACTCAAAATTAACATAAAATATAATAAACGATGGGACCCCCAGAATGTTAGCTAATCCAACTTTGGTTAGCATCTTCGGAACGATTGTCAAATCTGCCATCTCTCTCGCCTCCTTCTCTCGCTATTCTCCTTCAACACCGCCACCGCCATCATCACCTGCACCAGCAGCTGGTTCCCTTCCTCACAAATTAACAGCTGAGGCAAGTGCTCGTCATTTGCTAATCTTCTGATTCGATGTCAAACGATGAGTTTCTGCCTCACTGTTCCTTTCGAGCTTTAGACATGGCAGATCTTGCTGGTTTAATTATGCAGTTGAGGAGGATCAATACTATAAGCAAAATGGTGCCAATTTACTACACACTGACATATGCAGCAGTTGTTTCATGCAAGCTTAATACCTGTTTATAGAAGAAAGGAAGTATTAGAAAGCTGAAGAAAATGATATATCCATCTTCTTCTGAAACAGTTGATTTGAGTGAGGGGAGAGAGAGAGAGAGAGAGAGCTAACCATGAAACCAACACAGGAGTAGTTTAGAACCAGAACTGTGTTAGCAAAATGAGAGAGAGAGAGAGCTAACCATGAAACCAACACAGGAGTAGTTTAGAACCAGAACTGTGTTAGCAAAATTCATGAACACTAGCACGTTCTTGACTAGACCCTTATTCGGAGGTACAACTTGTTGCCATCTGTATATAACTGCTCAAGTCAAGGGGAAAATAAGTAAGCCAGCTCTCATAATTTGCAATAGAGTTAAATCATCAATACAAAATAAAATAGATCTTGAAATCCTTGTCAATACCTCCTGAACCAGCAATCATTAATGCTGACTGGACAAAGAATGTGATATATCCGGGATATAATCCTGCAAGTTTTTAACAAAATACAGAAGAAGGAAGAGTCAAATTGCTTGAAAAGAATGCAAGAAATACAGTAAGTCTTCATGGAACCATTAAATTGATGATTAGCACAACGTTTGGAACAAATGAATCGTGATTATAAAATTCATTTGTAAATGAATTTATGATATTTGATTTGCTACAATTTAAAATAAGAAATTCAATTGAATTCCACTAAATAGTCTTGACATAATAATTTAATAAAAATACTAATATAAACAAATTCATATTTCATTCTAATTAATTAATTCATGCTTAATTAAATTTTAAAATTCCATATTTTAATTCCTAGCAAATGTTTAAATTTTATTTTCATTAATAGATTAAAATATATTCAAAATCAAAAACTCATTTGAATTCAATGTATAATCATAATCGTGTATAATAACAATTTCATACTCTTTAAAAAAATACTAAAAATCTAGAAAAAATATAATTACAAGGATATATAATAAGAAGAAAAAAAAAAGACCACTTTTATTTTATATATAGCAATAATATTAGCAGAAAAAATAGTAATATCAAGTTCTTTCAAAATAAATTAAATTCATTAATAATTCATCAAGCAATAAGAGAAGTAACAAAGTGCAGCAACTATATATATATATCCATTAACAAAAATAAGGAATTCAATAATGAAAATTTAAAATAATGAAATTTTTAAATTTAAAATAAGAAATTTTTTTAAATTTAAAAAATTAAGAAAATTCAATGAATTCTATATGAAATTTTTAAATTTAAAATAAGAAATTCAATTGAATTCTATAAAATTATATTTAGAATAAATTTTTAAATAAAAATTCATTTTGTCTTTATTTTTTACGATACCCTTGACGTAATAATTTAAGAAAAATAAATAACAAACAACAATTATATTTATTATATACAATACAATAATTTGTCATTTTTATTAAAATATAAATAATGAATTTCATATAATAAATACACTCCCACACTAATTAATTAATTATATAAGCAATAATATTCATCATAATAATTATTTTTAATTGATATAAATATTTTACTGATTTAAATAATTAATTTCAAAACTAAAATAATATTAAGAATATTACTATTATTTTTAATTGCATTTGAAAAATAATTGTTTGCTGCTCAGTTTTTATAATAACAAGTAACATTATTACGATGAGATTATTACTAGATTTCAAAAGAAACTATAACTAACGTTTCATAGCAATATGCTAGATTTGGAAAAAAAAAAAGAACTATCGGTTGTTACTAGTGTGGAATTTTCTAAAAAAAAGAAGTAAAAATAATTGAGTTCGCAGTAAAGGATAATTTTATCAATAAATATTTTAATGGTTCAATTTTGTGAAATTTATTTATAAATTTCATCAATTTTAATAGAATTTGAGCTATATATATTTAATTCTATATAATTCAATTCGTAAAATTCAAATTTATATTTTTTTTCGTTCTAAACACAAAATTTTAGATTTTCAAATGAATTTCATAAAACATCATGGAATTCATTTATTTCAAACTTTTTCTAATTATCTATGGTAAAACAAAGCATTAAGACATGAAGGGACGAAAAGAGCTAAAAGCAGGTGGTGACGACGGTGGCGCTGTTGAAGGAGAGTAGCGAGAGAGAGGCAGATTTGATAAAACGTTGTCGTTTAGAAGATGCTAACCAAAGTTGGGTTAGCTAACTTTTATGGATCCCACCGGTTATTATATTTTAATATTAATTTTGACTGAATTTAATGCAATTATAACACAAGTTTAAAATTAGAGTGTACGAAAGATTAAGTTTATTTTAGGGTGAAAATGTTACGTGTTGTAAAGTTGAGGGTATCTAGAATTTATAACTTTCCAACTGTCTTCGATTATTGAAAATATTGTTTAATTTTTTTAATATTCGATGAAGTCCATAAGAATTCCTTTTAATATTGTCAACTTAAAAATTTTGTAGCTTTTTTTATTCAAACTCCATTTTAATTATTGTTCATATTACCTATACGAGCATATTTTTTTTCAAAAAAAATTGAAGTAAAAAATTCATTCTTCAAAATTTATTCACATTAAATGCTTATATATACCTTTGTCTATCACTTGAGAATTTTCTATATTAAAAGCTTCAAAAAGGATTAAAATAATGGTAAATTAAATTTTTTATATTAACATGATTCCTAAAGTTTCTAAATTAGAAAAAAAAATTATATAAAAAGAGAAATCAAAGTGAAAACTTTTTCTATATACAAGGCGCGAGGGAGTACTCCATATACGCAGAAAAAGCAAAAACTCAAGAAACATAAACATATCCTAAAGGTGCATTCCAATCTATGCGAAAAAAATAAAAAAATAAAAGAAAAGAGCTTATGCGAGAAGAAGAACAAAGCAAGAGTCATGATTATATTCTCCAGATTTAGATGGCCTTTTTCTTTAATAATCATGAAGGTTTATATATATGTAATTCATGCAAAAGCCAAAAAAACCCATCACTATTTTGTGTTTCCTTTTGCTATTATCACTACAGCTGCAACTTGATTAATACATAATTAAAAGAAGAACAGAGACAAAAGGAAAACAAAAAAAGCAAAAACTTGATCATGGTTTTATTCCCAAATCACATGATTACTTTACTTTGATCTCGTTTAAGGATGTCATGTGAAAGATATGCTATACGTATCTTAGTAGATCAATTATCATTTAGAAATAATCTACTTTCTTAATAAAAACATTTCCTTTTACTGTTAAATCTTACATGATACAAGTATGGATACATTTCAAATAGGTTTTGATTTGAAATCCTCAACTTTTTATCCAAATCAAGTTTGCAGTCCAATATGTAGAATAGATCGCCAGGAAGTTAAACATAGTTGGTTCTCTAGTTCTTTCTTTTCCTTTTGATATAAAATGAAAATGAGTAACGGTGATGGAGAAAAGAGACCCCAATTCGAAGCAATGCACATATACTCTCATGAAAGTGAAAAGTAAAAAGAGAAGAGAAAAAGAAAAGCACTAACTGGTTTTCACTTAACAAGTTTATCGGTTCCCTCCTCCTTTAGTGGCGCTATATTTGGAACCTCTCCCTCACGTACTTCCCCACTCCTAACAGTCACTCACCTCTCTCTACTACAAATTAAAGCAAAAACCAAATCTCCAAGCCGAATTGATTGCATAAACTTCAACAGATTAACTGAAAATATGTTCTCTCTTCTAATATTCCTTTTGGCCTCTTTCTCCTCTACAAGTACTTAACTTTCTTACTTATAACTTGATTACTTTAATTTTGTATAACATTGTTGCTTATTTGAATGTACATTTTTTTTTTTTTTTTTTTTTTGAAACTTGATTACTTTAATTTTGTATAACATTGTTGCTTATTTGAAATGTAACTGATTTTTTTTTTTTTTTGTTTTTTTTTGGTTCAGATGCCGAGAAGCAACTGATTATATCGATAAACACTGCAAACGAAAGTAAATGGCGCAGTGAAAATGCCTACGCAGGAGCTTTTTTTTTTTTTTTTTTTTTTGGTTGCAGATGGAGAGCAACTGATTATAGTAAACAACTGCAACGAAAGTATATGGCCAGGAATGCTAGGAGGAGCTGGACATCCAACTCCAAAAGACGGAGGTTTCCACCTCGGCAGCGGTGAGGAAGTAGTGGTGGATTTACCCCAGAAATGGTCAGGGCGGTTATGGGGTAGACAAGGATGTTACTTTGACAAAAATGGAAAAGGGTCATGTGATACAGGAGATTGTTCAGGTTTACTCCATTGCCAAGGCATTGGAGGAGCGCCACCAGCAACAATGGTAGAGATGACATTAGGGTCATATTCTTCTCCGCTACATTTTTATGATGTGAGTTTAGTTGATGGGTTTAATTTGCCAGTTTCAATGGCACCAGTTGGAGGTGGAATTGGATGTGGAGTTGCTTCCTGTGAGGTTGATTTGAATATTTGTTGTCCTTCTGCTCTGGAAGTTAGAAAAAGAGATGGGAAAATTGTTGGGTGCAAAAGTGCTTGTTTGGCTATGCAATCAGCTAGGTATTGTTGCACAGGAGATTATTCTAATCCAAAGACTTGTAAACCTACCCTTTTTGCTCATCTTTTCAAGGCTATCTGCCCTAGGGCTTATAGTTATGCTTTTGATGACTCTACTAGTCTTAACAAGTGCAGAGCATCAAGGTATGTTATTACTTTTTGCCCTCCTAAATGAGGAGTTGTAGTACTTAAAGGGAATAGCACAAGAGTGTCTGTTATTAGCTATGAAGTTATATTGTGTGTTTTTATCCCTTAGTTTACTGTTGAGTTGTGAATTTTGATGTTGATGACAAATGGAGGATGGTTTAAATGCATAAAGTGTAGCTTCTTATTACTCTGATGGTCCTTTATGAAATAGCCGAGTTTCAATTATGCTTAAGAAAATTTTTAATCATTTTTAATTTTCCTTCTAACCAAAGGAAGTTGACCATATAACATGAACAATCAACTCCTTCAATGCTCCTCCATAAACCCAAAAAGTGTCCCACGCAAAACAGAAACAAATAAAGCCACGAATGTGAAGTAGAAATTAGTGAGAATTGCTAAAACTCAATCAAAAACCCAACAAATATAACTGCAATATCAAAAAATGAATTTCAAACACGCAAAAAGCCACTACAAAATCTAAGATATACAGTACAAAATACAGGCAGAGGATCGCCAGAGCTACATTAGCAATTCATCCGGAGGTAGTATTTTGCTCATCAATATTAACTTTAGCATTTGAAGTCCCTTGGGCATTTGCAGCCTCCGGTGGAGGACCCAACCCCAATAACAAAGGAGTTTGTTTCTTTTCAGCAGAACTGGAATTTTTATTAGAATCCGGATTTGCAGCCCAAGCTCGAAGAGGAGGTTCAAAATGCTTGCTGGCAACATCAGGTGGTAAGGAATCTTCTCCGGGTAGAACAAGCAGTCCCTTCTCACGTAGAGATGATGGTTCATTATAGCAGGCATTCCAGAGAGAGTCTACAAGGTGCCTCTCCTCTCTGGCTGCCCCAAGATCCTCAGCTGACATCAAGCTGATACCCTTAATCCGTTCTTCTAGCAGTTGCTTCAATTTCTCATCCTCTTCACCAAATCTACCACCATTCCCACCTGCCTCATCTCGAGCAATCTCAAGGAGGCCCCTAAGGGCAGCCTCTCGCACCTCAGCATCTTCACTTGATGCAAGGTGCAACATCATCCGTGGGAATCCTAGCTCATTTACTATGCTGCAATCTGAACTATTCTCATGTAGTAGGTAATGGATCAAGTTGAGAGCTTTCCTGAAAAAAAAAATAGTTTTAACTTTATTACAAATTTGATTCAACTACCAATCCACTTAAAGATAGTACATCAACCAGATCATTAGTAACGATTAGGCCTTCATATCTTTTAATTCAAAAGCATCTTTGATCAAACCATTGATTTTTTTTTTTTTTTTTTCTAAATTCTTCACTCAATAATAATAATTACAATTTACAACCATACAATTATCACCAAACAAAAAGATAATAGGAATACCTTTGGAATCTCACATTTTCAGAACCCAAAGCATCTCTCAAGCCTGCATAACCATTCGCCAGACGAAATGCAGCAATACCTGGCTTGTTGTGACGAATTAAAGCTGAGAATCACAAACAATATATCTCACATAAGTATCTTTAAAAATTTCAAAATCATGGATGCAGGGTGCACAAAACTAATTTCCAAGCAGAATGCGAGCTCTTAAATATTGATAACAACCTCAATCAACATACAAACACACACACACACACACACACACACACAAAAAAAAAAAAGGAAACAGGCATAACTTACAGGATATTGCACCAAGTGCTTTGGTTCGAACAGCCATGTCTGGATCTGATGTGAAATTAGAAAGAAGAGGCTCGAAGCCATTTGCTTCCATAACCAATTGCTGGCTCCGGGGATTATTCTGGACAATGGTGGTTACAACCTCAGCAGCTTTTGCTCGAATGTTGGCATGGGAATTCTTCAGATAACCAAGGAGAGGAACCAAACCACCAATTGAATGAAGATCTGTCACACAACCACAATTAGCCAAAGGGCCAAGAAAATCTCCTCTTGTTATGAAGTGTGTTATGAAGTGAAAGCAGATTCAGTTACAACTTACAAGTAGATAAGAAATAAACTCTTCATAAGCACAAAGATATCTTATTTCTACACTACAATATCTACTTACTAACTTCCATAAAATACCATTAAGTTTTAAACTTTCACAGTCATCACAACTCAACAAAACAGCAATAGTAAAAACAGAAATATAACTATATAAGAAACTTTGAGGGAACTGAAAAGGCTTACCATTAGCCATATCAATAGACTCTACATGTTCTTGTAGTTCATCCAACATATCTGTCAGAAAGTACAGATCCAAATAACAAGCAACGTAAGATCAAACTGTACAACTAACTCAAAAGCCAAAATTGATTTATATAGAAATACCTTCAATATCAGCAGGAGTAACTCCTTGAGCCTCCAAGACTTGCTCTGGTGCTTGCATGACAAGAGTTATCTCCTTCATTCTCTTAATCACATCAACACTCTGTGATTGCATAGCTTCCATAAACCATCTTCGATCGTCCTCACTAATACATACAATGCACTGGATTAAATACCCATTAACAAGAGAAATTCCAATAAATTTGAATTGGAAAAAAAAAAAACAATCTTTATACCCATTAACATAAAGCACTAAATTTAAAGCTTCAGGTTCTATATTAATGAAAAACAGAAATTATTACCTGAGATTGCGAGTTGAGCCAGTCCCGTCGGAGTGAGCGAGACTCCATTTAAGCAATCCTTCCCAGTTGGGTCCGTCTTTCGCCATAACAACTGCTGCTGCACGAGTACTAAACCTAGGAACACTATTTAAGATTGAGTTCTTTTGAAAACCAATAATTTAACAAAAGTGGTGCTATAAAGATGAAAGCTTGTGATGAGAAGATAGAGAGATATAAATAGCAGACCAGAAAGAAAAATCGGGAATCCTCTCCAGGATTCCAGAACAATTGTAGAAATGAAGACTGCGTAAAGCCTAGAGGAAACTATAAACAAGAAGAAGAACACGGGACGGACCCAACAACATCATTACGGGCCTTTCACTGGGTCAATATATACGGCTTGGCCCATTAAATTGGACCGCACCATCAAGGCTTCAACTGATTGAACTTTTCGTAAAAAATTAAGTGGAAAATATTATTTTATGTTATTTACTCAAGTGAGACTTATTAATTTATTTATTCATACATTTTTAAAAAAAAAATTAAGTAGTTAATTATACAATTATTTTTGGACTGTTCATCGAAAGTCTTCACTCCTTTTTTATATGAAATGATCTCGTTTCAAAATAATTAATATATATTATTTATTTTATAATATCATATTTAAAAATTCATAGTATAACAAAATAACAATACTTTTAAGTGTATTCTAACAAAATATATATTTGATTTAAGGGATATTTAAGTGTATTCTACCGTAGCTCTTTCATCCCAAATGAAATGAAAGAATCTTGGTGTTGTGATGAATAATTGGGCGCCAATGCATAATACCTTGTAATTCATTAAGTTGTATACTATCTTATAAATTATTAAATGATTTTAATTTTATAAAAAAAATTATAATTGTATTTTTTTAGATAAACATTATAAATTGTAATTGATTAAATTATTTTTTATATAGTTGAAAAAAAAAAAAAAAGAGAAAATTGAAATTGTTTCCCACTGAAGGGAGTCTTCCCATCACTGGCTCAGAGGAATTTTGGGACCACACCCTTATCCACTAAAGCACACATGAATCTTGGAGCATGACGTGGCCTTATCCATATCCAAATGATTGAGGATACAAGCTATAACATCAAATCTTCCGCCCAAACCTTTATTTTTCCTGGAAATCTGATTCTATTTGATTGATCTTGAACTGTAACTTGCTAAGTCATCAAGGATGGCAGCCTCAGTTCCTCTTCAGACTTGTTTTGCTGGAAATATTGGAAAGAGCAATGGGTCTTGTATTATCCGGCCAAAACCAGAAGGTTCAAAATCAAGACTGGTTTCCTGGAACTTGATGCAAAAGAACAAGAAGAGGAAATCAATTGCAGTTGTTGCAGCTGTTGGAGATGTATCACCTGACGGCATAACCTACCTATTTGCAGGCGCAGCCACCGTCGCCCTGCTTGGAACTGCCTTCCCCATCCTTTTCTTTCGCAAGGACCTGTAATTGTTCTTCCTCTCATTTTTGTAGTTGCTCTGCATTACCACACAAAGAATCAAAAAGCCATTAACATAACAAGAAATTAGACTCTGATTATACTATTTAATTTTAACTTCATAGTGTCTATTTATGTTGAATTGGTGATGGTAGGTGTCCTGAATGCGATGGAGCGGGTTTCATCAGGAAGGCAGGTGGGGCTTTGAGGGCGAATGCTGCTCGCAAAGATCAAGCTCAGATTGTATGTCCTAATTGCAATGGTCTTGGCAAGCTTAACCAAATTGACAAATAAACCCGAAGTTATTCTGGCTTTTCAAATGGACAGGTCCTGTTTATTGAATCTATATACCAGAGTTCAAAAGTGATTATTGGAATTTTATCACCCATATCTTTGTATTTCTAATCAAAAGCTTCTGTTAATTTTGATTTGGTTGTTTTAGATTTGTGTAATACGACCAATCATGTTGTAAGAACCATGCTAATATCCGTACTGAATACACCCTTCTTGTAATTGTTTGATTTCGATCTTTTTTAAAACCAAATTTTGTCTCTCTTTCACATGTATGTTTTTTTTTTTTCTAATGATAATTTATTTCAATTATATTTCTAATAAACATTTAATTCTTTTTTACTATTTAAAGTATACGAATCCTCATAAATTAGATGTGTCCATAGCCTATCAACTATCTTTAAAAAAAAAAAAAAAAAAAAAATTTAAAGTATCACGAATCCTCATAAATTAGAATGTGTTCCATAGCCATCAACTTATCTTTAAAAAAAAAAAAAAAAAAAAAAGAAGGAATGGGTTCAAAATTTTAATATAATAGTAATGGATAGATAATTATGTGCATGCATGGAGCTAAACCAAACTTGGGCGCTTCATCACTTCACTTTAAAAAAAAAAAAAAAAAAAAAGAATGGGTCAAAATTTTAATATAATAGTAATGGATAGATAATATGTGCATGCATGAGCTAAACCAAATTGGCGCTCATCACTTCACTGCTCCTACGTGAGCACGGAAATAAAGAAATTACAGAAAGTGAGAGCAAATGAGTAATCCTTCTGTTTGTTAACTGATTTGAACAAAAGGAGGCCATTAATTCACATCACCCTGGAATTTGGCTATAAATAGTTATGTCAGGTCAGGTCAGGATCGTTGATCCCTCAAAAACCGCCAATCACTCTGACAAATGTGCAATTGTACAAGAGCGTAGCCTTTTGTGTCTCACTCCACGCCTCCTCAATCGCTATACTGTCTTTGTCTCGAATCGATCATTGTCAGGATTTTCAATCCAGATTATGATTTTATCGGTTTATTTTCTGCTCCGTGAAAACCCAAACATACAAAAACGAAAATGAAGCGAGATGAGGACCTGGGTCCTCACCACCGTGCAGATGAATTCCACACAGACGATGAAGAACATCAAGCAGAAAGGAATTGCGATCATGAATATGATTCAGAATCTGATAACTCTTCTCCTTCGCCTAATTTTCAAATCCACAGTTTTCAGGCTGCTATTCCTACCTGGCCTCAAAGTTACAGGTACCTTATAAATGTCAGTACCCTTTTTCCCCCTTTAGTTTTGGGTTTTGTGAACTTTTGCAATTGCTGAATCTGCGTTGTATATTCTGTTTTATTTTATTAGATCTTCGCAAAAAATGATGCCATTTGAATTTTTTCATTACAATTATGTCATATATTGATTTCAATTTTGATGAGATGAACCTGAATTCAAATTTGTTACTTATTGCTCTCAATTTTAGGGTTAATAAAGTATTGGAAGCATAATGTAGTTAAAAATTGTATATTGGCAAATCGTTAACAAGATCGAAATTCTTTATGTAAGGATCCAATCTATGCAATTTCCTTATTATGATGAAAATGTTGCAGGAAGTCGATGGATATGCTTGGTAGTGTGCCACCTCCTTCAATTTGGTCTTTTAAAGGAACTATTGTGGCAGACATGACCAGTTCTATAACTTCAATTTGCAAGAGACGTCAAAATTCTGAATTTTCTCCTTTCCTAAGTAAACCTTTTGTCTCACACCACAGTTTAGAAAGAGAAGAAGTTCCTACTTCTACATGGCCAATAAAGTTTTCTGCATCTTCTCGGTCTAGATTTTCCATTGGTGAATTGCCACAGTCAAACAAGGACAGTTCGTTTGCTCAAGCTGTCCTAAATGGTGAAAACTCTGTACTCTTTTTATCTTGGTTTAGCTGTTTTGCAATGCACTAGGTAAGTTTGAATGATTGGAGTGGTGGTCAAACAAAATCATTGATTAAAAAGAAATGATAAAACGCAATAATAATCATATTATCTCCTTATCAAGTCATGTTCTTAGTTATTCTGTATCAGACTATCAGCATAAACTACATACCCTACAAGGTCTCTACTTTGAACTTTAATTACTAACAAATTAATTGACTTTTCATTTCGCTTCCCATCTTCACAATATAAAGACTCATCAAACCTTAAAACTGAACACAAAATTACAAATATGTGAACTCTTGAATAAACTGAAGTGTAATGTCTAACAATTGCTTTTCGCTTTCCTTTATTTCCTTGAAGCTGTTTTCTCTGTGTTTCTTCTGTGTAGGTATAAATGTCCTATGTGGCATAGGACTCCTTACAACTCCATATGCAATCAAAGAAGGAGGATGGTTGAGCCTCTTAGTCCTCTTACTTTTTGGCATCCTCTGTTGCTATACTGGGACACTATTGAAGAAATGTTTAGAAAGCTCGCCTGGACTACGAACTTACCCTGATATTGGGCAGGCCGCTTTTGGATTGTCTGGCCGACTAGCAATATCTGTAAGTTAAATACCAATGTAAATTCCTAATTGTAATTAGTTGTTACTCTTAACCACGTGCAAGATTTTAATGCATTTGGCTGTTAAAATTTATTTCGTAACTGTTAGACATTGTTGCTTCATTAAAGAACTGACAGTTTGGTTTTGGTCAAATGCAGATTATGTTATATGTTGAATTATATGTAAGTGCCACAAATTCTTCCTTGTATGTTCGTATCAATTCTCCACATATATTTTGGACCTTTTATTTTGTCATGCACTGAAAGGTGATAGCTTTGGCCTGTAGGCAGCTTGTGTGGAGTACATTATCATGATAAGTGATAACTTATCGAGATTGTTTCCAAACACATTCATAAATTTTGCTGGAACACATCTTGGTTCTCATCAAATCTTTGCTCTGACTGCAACTGTTATTGTTCTTCCAACTGTCTGGCTTCGAGACCTTAGTTTGCTGTCTTACCTTTCAGGTTCTGTGGAATTCACTTCCTCAGTATTGTATTTCATTTCTCTGTGTTTTTTTTTTTCCAAGAAAAGAAAAAAAAAGGAAAAAGAAAACAAATATAGACTGCTGATCTTTGAAGCTGCTGTCTTCAGTTGGAGGAGTAGGTGCATCGATTTTGGTGGCTTTCTGCTTGTTATGGGTTGGGGTGGTGGACAAAGTGGGATTTCATCATAATGGAACAGCTCTAAACCTTGCAAAACTACCTTTCGCAATTGGTATATATGGTTATGGCTTCTCTGGCCATGCTGTTTTTCCAAATATCTACACCTCCATGAAAGAGCCATCCAGCTTTACGTCAGTTCTAATTGTTAGGTGAAAAAAAAAACCTCTTTTCGTTTGAATAATAAACTATTCACTCTTTTTTCCTTAATGATTAATCAGTATGAAGATTCCTACATTGATCAATGTGATCATCTACCCATGTTTTCAAAATTAGATGAGATTTCCCCTTTGTCTTACAATCATATATTTTTCTGATTCACAACTCTAAAAGCGAATATGCTGCTTTGCTAATGTATTTTACCATTGCTGCAGCTTCATATTTTGTTGGTTTATGTACACCGCAGTAGCAATATGTGGCTTTCTGATGTTTGGTAACTCAATCAAATCTCAGTATACATTAAACATGCCTGTAGAACTCATGGCTTCTAAGATTGCAGTATGGACAGCGGTATGATTAGATGCACATTTATGTCAGAAAATTTTCAATCACGCATTTAATTAGATGAGACCAATGATTAATTTTCAGTCAAAATAAAAATTCATAAGATTTAATTGGCATGCTATACCATATTCAACCTTTGTTCCTTGGTCGTTTGCAGGTTGTGAACCCAATAACAAAGTATGCCTTGACACTAACACCCGTGGCATTGAGTTTAGAAGAACTCATGCCTCCTGGTCGGCTTAGATCTTACAGTATATCATTAATCATCAGAACAGTTTTGGTAATTTCAACTTTAGTTGTGGCAGTGGCATTTCCATTCTTTGGTAAGAACTTTCTACATTTAGACACTGGTTTTTTCTTGTGTGTGTTTAAAGCCATAAGGCGACTTTCATAAGCCCCAAAAGTCACATTTCTTCTTGAACTCAATAGGCGAATTGCCTTACCTAGTTTATGAATGCACTGCAGGTTTTGTGATGGCCTTTATTGGATCTTCGCTCGCAATGGTTGTTGTAAGTTCTCTCATCATTGTTAATCCTTGTGTATTCTTTGAAATAAATGAACATAAAGTTTATCTGATTTGCCAATGAATTTCATTAAGTAATTTGTCAATACATTCTCATGTATGTTTGGAATTCACTTTGCATTTGTAGCATCATTAGCTTAAACTTTTTTTAATTAAAAATTTTTATCTTTACTAATTTGTATCTTTAATAAGTTCAAAATTCATTTTTATATTCTCAAATTCTTTTGGCTCAAGCATATTCACTGCATACTCTGGCGAATCTAAATCCCCTCTCCCTTCTTAAAAAAAAAAGAAAGTTAATTCGAAGCAGATGTGCCACCAGCGCCCAATTTAGTTGTTTAAGGTCCAAGTTTGGTGACTTAATTATACCCCAAACAAACTTAAATTTCTAGCTTCACCAGGGCTTGCATAAACTTAAAAATATAGAATTGTAATTAATATATACTATTTATTCCAAAAACATGGCTAGTGTTGATTTGTAAATGAATTTCGTAGAATTTTGTGGAATTTACTTGTACCAAACAAGCTCTTAACTTAATTTCTCAAAAGTTACTAATACTTATGAATCCATTTCTCTGCAAATCATTCAATTGCAGGCTGTTATCTTCCCATGTATATGTTATCTTCGCATACTTCATGAAAGACTAAACAAATTGCAGGTGAAAGTCCTTTACCTTTACCTCATTCTCATTATATTTTCAAATAATAATAATTTATATCCGTAGAGCCAACCAAGTACATGATTGATTATTATTCTACTGTTTTATCAGATTGCGGCTTGCATCTTCACCATTACGGTGGGCGTGCTTACTGCCTGCTTTGGAACGTATTCATCAATTGCAAGATTGGCTAACAATGTGATGGAAGGAAAATGAAAGCAGCCATAGTTATTGCAAGACAATGTTATGTTAGACTTTTTAAAATTGGCCCAGGTAAAATCGCAAGAAACATAAGAGAATTGGGTCAAATTTGTATGTTGCAATTACATCAGAGAGAGATTTAGAGATTTTGGAGGAGAAAAGATGATTTTTTTTTTTTTAATATTTTTTCTTTTTAGAATAAGGCAACATGTATTAAATCCCATCAGCAGCGAGCCAGAAACTGAAGCTTCAATTTAAACAGGGACTTACTCAATCCAAATCTGCTCCCTAACTACCAAAAATGGATTGAATTTTAGTACCAAAGAGAGTGCACCTATCTTAGCAGCAGAAGCTAAGATATGACAAGAACACCAAACCTGAAAACCATTTTGATTAGGAAGCCACCTGTCTTTCCATCTGTGGACTGAGTCACCATTGCCAACAAACTAACGAATGGGTTTCATAGGGATGATAATGGGTAGGGTTCGGGTCGGGTATTGCAAATACCCATGCCCAAATCCAATCACATCCTTAATCCCCATATCCTACTCAATACCTATAGGATAGGGAATACTATAGCATCCCAAATCTAATGGTACCAATGCGTATTTATTACCCACAGATACCATTATCCATGGACTCATGTAATTAATATAGATAATTTACTGCAACTAACCAATTTATTAAAAGTTTCATACTATAATTTTAAAAAAAATAATAAATTTTTAAATCTCTTAGAGTTTGAATTTCGGTACCGGTTGGATTCGGATTTATAATAACAATACTCATACCTTATCTATGCCAAAATACAACTTTAAAATTTTACCCATACCCTACTCAAATCCACTCAAAATCTTAAAATTCAGATTTGACTGGGTCTAGATTGGGTGCACATACATTGAGCCAGGTTGATTTTGCCATCCCTCGTTTGCATAATGTTTTTAAAATCGGATTCAACATTGTATCTTCTTGATGACTGGTCCACATTTAAATCTAAGGACGTATTTTTCTTTTGTGCCGAGAGGAAACCTAACTTCTTTTTTTCTTTAATTTTTCACTTATTTATTTAATCTATGTATGTTGTAAGTTTCCTATTTAACCAACCAAACAAAATCATTGTATTAAAAACATTTTGAAAAATATTAGATATTATCTAAATCCTTTGAATTGCATTATATAAAATTTAAACAAGATTATCATAATAAATCCATTTAAAGATTATTTAATTTATAAATGAATTCTATATTTTAAACACTTCTCTGCCTATAATATATCTATCTATCTATATCTATACTATATATAAATGTGGGAATATGGGGAATAATGAGATTTTCGATATCGGTCTCAATAAAATTTAGAATATTCTAAAATAGCGAAGGAGAGGGTGCGAGAGCGGGCGCAAGAAAAGGGAGAAGAGGCGAAAAGAGCCGGGGGCGGGGCCGAGGCAAAAAGGAGAGGGAGGACCGACAGGCCGAGGGGGGGAGAGAGAGCGGTTTTTTTTTTTTTTTTTTTTATTTTTTTTTTTTTTTTTTTTTTTTTTTATCTATATCTATACTATATATAAATGTGGGAATATGGGGAATAATGAGATTTTCGATATCGGTCTCAATAAAATTTAGAATATTCTAAAATAGCCTTTGTCGTGGCCTATTCAAAAATTATATTTTATACCGACAAGTGTTTGGATAATTGGTTCGACATTCTTCTTCCTTAGGTGAGGACGAGGGTTCGATCCTCCTGGATGGAGCAAATACTTGTTGGGAACACTTTATCCCTTCTTGGACCAACCTGGTACAAGCAGGACTTAATTTTAGTCAAGTGGGCTTGGGATACCTGTGGTTAAGATGAAAAAAAAACTACATTTTATTATTTGATTGGATATAATTTCTAAAAATTATATTATATTATATTATATTATATTTATATATATATATATATATATATTATATAATATATAGAAGATATAAGAAAAAAGTATACTCTTCTTTGTTTTTATGGTTGTATGAAAAATTATGTATTTATTTGGAGAGGATATAACGTTTATTTTATTGTAATCTTTTTTTAATTACTCAATTAAATTATTTATTTATTCTAAATTTGCAACTTAGAACAATAGAAAAACAAAATACTTGAATAAACTCATTAAATGATAAATATTGGATCCTAGCATAATTTGTTTTGTAATTTTCATTTATTGACTTGGCGTTACTTTTTTTTGTCCATCAAAATCAAATTTAATTAAATTATAGCATTTTCAGGGTTATTTTTGAAATTCAAATTTTGTCCATCAAAATCAAATTTAATTAAATTATAGCATTTTCAGGGTTATTTTTGAAATTCAAATTGGTAATTTTTTAATATAATTTATTTCTTGCTATATGTTGAGTTTTTAAAAGAGTTTTATTCTTAATAAAAATTTGTTATTTTTTATTTTCTTTTTCGTCATTGAATTAATTTGTAACCACTATCACTTTAATTTTGTAGTAAATTTATATCTCATTTGCAATAAGTAGATGGCCCCTGATTAATCATTTTTAACTTTCTTGATATTTTTTCTTTTATAACCTAAATATATTTGACTTGAAAGAAAATATTATTTATGAAATTAAAAAAAAAAACTAGAGCTATATATTTTTGTTTTATGTCATTTTTTGGGTTTCAAGAGTTTGCCTGTATGTTCACATATTCCTTTCTCTAATGCACTGGGTAAGTACTACTATCACTACAGCCAAAATGATTATCATTATTAATTTAAATCATTTTCTCATTTCTTTTCTTTTACCTACCAATAAAAAAAATTTTATTATTATTTTTTTCATTATAGCTGTATATAGATATTGATTTGGGATTGAGAGTAAGGGTTAGGGATTGATGATAACTTGATTTTCTTTTTGAGTACCTATCAAAATTTTAAGAAGCTGTATTTATAAATTAGGGACTGAAAAATTAGGTATAAAGATTGGATTAAACTTTATTTTGAAACCACTTCATTATATAAAAATAGAATTAAATACATAATAAATAGCATTGCAAGTAGCTTATACGGCAAAATCTAATACAAATTAACCAATTGTATTTGTTTTAATCTAAACAAAAACTTTTACTTTAATATTATATAGATAAAAAATTAAAAGAGTATAAAAAATGAAAATATAACGAGCATTGTCAACGTGCAACGCACGTCATAAAAAAGGCTAATAATATATATAAATATGGGAATAAGGAGGAATAATGAGATTTTCTATTTTGACCTTACTATAATTTAAAATATATTAAAATAGCTTTAGTCATAGCCAATTCAAAAATTACATTTTATACCAGCGAATATTTGGATGAGTGGTTTGGCACTCTTCTCCCTTAAGTGAGGTCGAGAAATGATCCCCATGGATAGAGTAAATACTCGCTGGGAGCACTTTACTCCTTCTTGAACCGACCCGTACAAGCAGGATTTAATTGTAGCCCAATGACTCAGGATACCTGTGGTTAAGACAAAAAAAAAAAAAATTACATTTTATTATTTATGGATATATTTTAAAAAATTATTTTTTAAATAAATTCATATAAATAATAAAAAGAAAAAAAAGTTATATTCTTCTTTTCCGTAGTTGTTTGTAGGGAAAATTGAATGTTTAAAATTTAGCGATGCATATTAATGTCTCTTTTTGTGTAAGTATTTTTTATAAATTAATTAACTTCTTATTTATTTATTTAGATTGCAACTTAGAAAATTAGAGAAAACAAATTAGATTTCCTATTCAATTATTTGCTTTGTAAGGTTTTTAATTTATTGACTTGGCGCGTAATCTTTTTTTTTTTTTTTTTTTTTTTTTTTTTTTTTTTTGTCAACATCAAATTTCATCAAATAACATCATTTCCAATTAAAGAAGAGATTGATTTTTTGAAATTCAAATTGGTAATTTTTTTAATATAGTTTGTTTATTGTTATGTGTTAAGTTCTGAAAAGAGTTTCATTTTTAATAATAATTTTTTATTTTTTATTTTCTTTTTTTGCTACTGAATTAATTTGTAACTACTATCACTTTAATTTAGTAAGAGATTTATCTCCCTTACAATAAATAGATGGCCTCTTAATGATTAAATATTTTTAATTTTCTTATTATTTTTTTATTATATTCTAAATCTGTTTGATTTGAAAGAAAGCAGTGTTTATAAAACTGAAAAAAAAATTAGAATTATATATTTTTGCTTTGGGTCACTTTTTGGAGTTTCAAGAATTTATGTGTATGTATATATATTCCTTTTTCTAAGCACTAAGTAAGTAATACTGTCATTATAATCAAAGTAATTACCATTATTAATTCAGATCATCTACTCATTTCTTTTTTTTGCTAGAAGTAAAAAATAATTTATAATTATTTTTCATTGTAGTTGTATATAAATATTGATTTAGGGTTGAAGGTGGGGGTTGTGGATTGAGTGATAATTTGATTTTTTTTTTTTTTTTTTTTTTTTTTTTTTTTTTTTTGTGCATTCACTACGGTTTAAGAATATGCATTTATAATGTAGGATGAAGGATTAGGGTTTTAGGGAATGAGTTTGAACTTTATTTAGGACTACTTGTATGTATATAAAATATAAAAATAGAATTAAGTACATAATAAGTAGCATTATAAGTAGATTGTACGATAAAGTCTAATAGAAATTAACCAATTATATTTATTTTAATATAAACAAAAACTTATGCGTTAATTTTATATAGATTAAAAAAATTAAATGAGTACAAATATATAACAAGCATAGTCAACGTGCGAGGCAGCTCAGAAAAAAGACTAGTACTATATATAAATGTGAGAATACAAGGGAATAATGAGATTTTCTATATCACCCTTAATGAAATTTAAAATGTCCTACCCTTAATGAAATTTAACATGTCCTAAAATACTCTTAATGATGACTAATTAAAAAATTACAGTTTATTAATTAATTGGATATAATTTATAAAAATTATTTTTTTTAGTTAATCATGTGTGATCTGATTGTCTTATCACTTATGTGAGGAGTGAGAGGTCTCCAGTTTCGAATCTTCTCAACTACAAGTGTTTTCACATATTTGGTGAGTGGAGGATTATTCTTTGTTATGTAGCTTACAAGTGTTATTTGGTTCATTAAGCTTCTTAATGAATTACAAAAAATTATTTTTTTAAATAAGTACATATAGATAATTAAGTATTTAAAAATTTAAGTTTTATCTTAATTTTTTAGTAATAAATATATATCACAATGGGACATTTCAAAATATTTTTATATTTTATT